AAATTAGACCCTTATGTTTCACCATATGAAAAAAAAATCAACTAGAAATAGATCAAAGATTTAAATGTGAGACAAACAATCATGAAACTACCAAAACACAACATAGGAGGCATGCTTCAGGACACTGGGCTGGGCAAAGATATTTTGGATATGACCCCAAAAGCATAGGCAGCAAGTGGGATTACATCAAACTAGAAAGCTTCTGTAAAAGGAAATACTGTAACCCAGATTGAAGAGGCAACCTATAGTATGGGAGAAAATATTTGCAAACTATTAATCTGATAGGTGATTAATTTCCAGAATAGGTAAATAACTCAGACTACTCAATAGCAAAAATACACACACAGACACACACACACTCTACAATTAACATTTCTCAAAAGATATTGAAATGGCCAAAAATATATGAAAAAGTATTCAACAGCACCAATCATCAGAGAAGTGCCAATCATAACTGTAACGAGATATTAATCTTACCCCAGTGAGAATGGCTGTTATCAAGAAGACCAAAGCACAAAAAACTAAAAAATAAATACTGTGGGTAAGTGGAGATTAGGGAAGCATCACACAATGTTGGTGGGTATATAAATTCATATAGACATTGCAGAAAACAGAAGCAATTTTCTCCACAACACTAGAAATAGAGCTGCCTTGTGAACCAGCAATCCCAGTACTGACTACATAGCCCAAGAACCAAAACCAGCTTGGTGAAGAGGCCTCTGTAAATGTATAATTACTGCAGTGGAGCTCACAATAGTGAACCAACTGAGGTGTCTGATGATGGGTGAGTCAGTAAAGGAAATGTGGTACATATATACAGTGGGTATTATTCACTTATAAAAAAAAGGGAACCGGATGGAACTGGTAATGGAAATTACCCAGCTGCAGAAAGACCAGCATACATCCCCCCTTACACATGGAAGTAGGAAAGTTGATCCCAGGAAGCAGAGGTAATAACAGCAGTTACTAAGTCTGAGGAGGGTGTGTAGAGGAGAGGCAGAGAGGACATTAATAGGCCTTAGAGTATAGGTGGACAGAGGAAGGACTTCCAATGTGCTACAACACAGCAGGGAACTATGGTTGGCAACTACCTGAATAGTTCAAAATAGCTGTAGAGATGATTTTAAATTCCCAGGATAAACGATATACATCAGACAGACATGCCAAGTTTCCAGATGTGATCATTATATTTTTTCACACATCTAAACACAATGGATCCCATAAATGTATATCTTTATGTGTTAATTATAATGTAAAAACTAAAAGTAATACCTGCAATATATTAGAAAACACTAAGTTAAAAAAAAACCCATAGGTTATAATGGTACCTTAAGGAGCCTCTCTGGTCACCATCAACAGGGCAACAGTAAATTGCTGGGAATCTGGCGGTCCTACAGAAAGTAGCGCCCAGCCTGTGCAATCTTGATTCCAGGGTGACCAGGTTTTCTGTGCAGAAGCAGCTGAGGAAGTAACGGATCAAACAAGAGGGTAAGGACAGATGCCAAAACCTTCAGGACAGGCCTGGAAGGGGTGCTGCCAGCTGGGGGGTGGTGCCAGGTGGACAGCCCATTTACAGGCCTCCGGTCACTCAGAGCAGCACTGCAGACACCTGACCTCAGGAGAGACACAGTCAGGAGCTGAGCAGAGTCTGGCTGGACATCCCATCTGAGTGTGGGTGGGAAGTGGAGGAAGGATCTGCTCTTCCTCACCATCCACAGCCCAGAGACCAGCTCCAGGGGCCCAGGAGCAGTGGTGCACACCAGTGTGTGCTAAGTGCCCTGAGACACTGAGCCGGGTGGCCTGGGAGAAGAGGGCTGGCCATGGGGAAGGGACCCCTGCAGAGAGAGACTTAGCACACATAGCTGCCAGCAGACACTGGCACAGGTGAGTCACTGAGGGAGATCCATTAGGGCTCCCAGGGACATCTGCCTATTAACCAGGGATTGGGTGACAGCAAAGAATTATTTTTGTTAGGTGCCATAATGGCATAATATCTATTTTTAAAGCATTCTGGGAGACAGATACAGGAGGGTCACATGTTCCAGCCCAGCCTGCATAACTCAGCAGTACCTCTCTCTCTCAAGTAATTGGTCAGTCACTAAAAATGTCGAAGGGCTGGGGATGCAACTTGGTGCAAGGATCCTTGGCTCAATCCTCAGTATCTCTGGACCAAAGAAAAAAAGTCCTTACTATCTACAGATGTACCTGCAGTCCCAATAGGTAAGACTCACCATCTGGAATGTATTTTAACTACTCTAGAATCCTCCTCCCTGCCCCCATTGATTAGATGAGCAAGATTGGAGTTCATCACGAAATTCCCTAGCACTGTGTACATAAATAATTTTCCATGATAAAATTTTGTTAGCAGCAGCGAGAGGAGACTGAGAGCTGAGCCAGCACACCTGAGCTGTGGGGCTGGGGTGGCTCAGTGGTGAGCACCTGCCCAGTGTGCATTAGACCCTGGCTTCCAGGCCCAGTGCCACCGCAAGAAAAAGAAAGAAGAATGAAAGAAAAGATAGGGTTGCCAGTCGCGCTGCCGTCACAGTACACCCTCTCTCCCTGTGCGTTGTGTGCTGGGGCTGACAGTGCTTTTGACTACTCTGCAAGGTAGGTGCTGTTCCCACCTCAGCTTTGTAGGTGAGGAAACTTGGGCACAGTGATCAGGATTTCCAGGCTCACACAGGAGCAAAGTGACCAAGAAGGAGAGCAGAGGCAATGCCAGGGTGCAGGCTGAGACGGCCGTGGCATTTCCCACAGCAAAGCACCAGCATGTGGGGAAGAGTGGGCCAGGACGGCACCCAGGACAAGGGCGCTGCCACGGCCTCAGAGGACTGACGCTGGCTGCAGGTATGGATGAAGGCACCTGCAGTTCTCCCAGTGCCAGGGCAGCCACAGCCACCCCTCCAAATGTGCAGGCCTTGAGCACCACAGAGCTGTGCCCCTTCAAAAGCGTGTGGGGTGACTGCATCCCATGCACACATGCTCAGCAGTGGCACAGCTAAGGCTGCAGACTGGTCTCCTGCTACACATAATGGGCCCGCCATTGGTCCATTCTTCCTCTTGTCCTGTGAGCACTCCGCGGGGGGGGGGGGGTGCGGGCGTGCACACACACACACACACACACACACACACACACACACACTGCCAAACCCGAGGACCGCCCGTACCAGGTCGGCAGTCACGCAGTTGTTGCTGCCTCACTGCATCCTAGGTCCCAGGGTATGACCGCTGGTAGAGTAGTGGGGTGAGAGGACTCAAGACCCCTTTCCACTATTCTTGCAACTTTCTAAAAACCTACAAATAGGGGCTGGGGATTTAGCTCAGCGGCATAAGCACCTGCCTTGCAAGCAGGCAGTCATGAGTTCGATCCCTGGTACCGATAAAAAGGAAAAAGACAAAAAAAAAAAAAAATCGAACAAATATTTCCAACTAAAAGGTTTAAAAAAAAAACCCTGAGGCTCCAAAGGTTAAAGGGCAGACGGATTACAAAGATCTCTTACTCTTCTTTTGGGGAAACTGAGACTCAGTCGACTCAGCCGACTCAGCGCCCCTCCTCCTCTAGATCAGGGTCTGGATGGGCTCATTTTAGAACTGCTCCTCTTACTGCCTAGACTCCCATGCTACCTCTCTTCCTGCCCATCTCTCCTGCTCCTGACCGCGCCGCAGGCCTCCTCCCTCACTTCCTGGCAGGCAGCGGCACTTCACATCATTCACAGAGGCCTGTGGTAGGCCCCCAGCGCTGGGTACCAAGCCTTCCTCCAGCACTGACCCCAGCCTGGCACTGCCTGCCACTCCTACAAACACACAGTCATTAACGGGCAGCAGCTCTCCTGTCACTGCTTGGAAAGAGCCCCATTGTCCAGGTGTCTTTTTACCTTGCTCACTGGGATTTGCTGCAATCACCTGCCCATGTGCAGGCACCATATGTCACTTCTCACGAAAATCGATGCTGCAGAATTACCCAATGGAGTGCAAGCGCTGAAGATATAGTGGCTTGCAAAAAAAGCACTGTTCCACTTCAAAGAAAGCACTTACAGGAGCAGTAAAAAGAACCAAAATGTGTATTTTAATACTACTTTTCTGTTCTAATCTTTCACTTTCAGCTGCATTTTATTTCCACTCAGAGGAACGAGAGCAGAAGTGTATAATACAAGACATTCCGAGTGAAACATGGGTCACAGGTAGGTAAGATGAGCCTTGTCAAAGGGTGGATCCAGATGTGGTCTTACGGTATTATGTTGATCTCCTGAATCGATATTATTTGGCAGTGAACGTAATAAGGTATGGTCATCTTCCCCCCGCCCCCTTTGTCTTTTTGAGATAAGGTTTCACTAAGAAGTTCAAGCTGGCCGTGGGCTCACTTTGTAGCTCAGGCTGGTCTTGAACTTGCAACGATCCTCCTCCTTCAGCCTCCTGAGTGCTGGGATTACAGGAGTGCACCACCACACCTGGCCTGGAATGGTCATCTCTTGCTCACCAAGTTAAGAAGAGCTGATGTAAAAACAGCCTTGCCTGGGGCTGGGGATGTAGCTCAGTGGCATAAGCGCCTGCCTTGCAAGCGCGTGCTTGAGAGTTCAGTCCTTGGTATTTAAAAAAAAAAAAAAAGAATAATAAAAAAAAAAAACCTTGCCAGTGACTTGCATATTTATAAAGCAGGAAGCCTGGACTGGACCACAGGATCCAAGCTTGATTTGTGGTTCTGGTCACTGGTTTTCTTTGGTCAAAGGTATCTCTGGTGCCATTCAGAGTATTAATTGTGGCTGAATGCTGAAAACACACATGAAGTCTTTAGACCAGAGTGCCTACCTGGCCATTGTGTTTTAGTGTTCTATCTCCAACAGTGATGGCCCAGCCTGCAAACACTGTGGTCAATGTAGGAAAGGACGGGGGGCAGTGAGAATGCAGCATTGGGCCGCACTGAGGTGAGCAGAACGATGGGACAGATGTGGTGGGCACTGAGTGGCGGCCTCCCCTGCCCTCTCAGTTGCTGTGGGAGGGACATGTCTGACTCCTCAGACTCTGAGCGAGACTTCTGTATCCGGATCCCAGCACTGCCACCCAGCACCATGAGTAAGCCACGTAACCACTCTGTCTCTTCGGGATATGTGGAGAGTTCATCTGTGTATGTATGGCTTCTAGAACCCAGCCTATCCTGGCCTGCACACAGAGCAGGGAGTGGGGAGGGTGAGCTGCCTTGGTGAATCCCAGTGCAGCTGGTCACTTTTCTAGGACTTCGTGGATTTCCCAACCTGCAATGCAAGGGACCGTGGCTAGAGAGTCCTTAATCTCCTGGAGATGCTGCTGGACAGTTGCCTGGTGCAGTCTGACATGCAGCCCCTAGCCCTCTGGGCTGGCTCCTCATCCTGAGTCGAGTCTCTCTGTCCTTGCTCCCTGGACACCACTGGACACCTGCTCCTCCCTGGCCTGCTGCTGCCTCCATGCCTGCAGACCACCACCCTTGCAGATATGAGGGTTTAGATAAACTTGGAACCATAGGATATTTTAGTTTTTCTTTAAAAGAGGACAGCAAAGCCCTGGAGTCCCAGAATTACAGATCCTGGTCTTGGGAGCTATCTTATGGATCTGGAAGGAAGCACCATGCTGCCCAGCTTCTGCTCCTGGGTCTGGGGCAGCTCTGCATCCTTCCTGCTGGGACCAACTACTCTGTCTTCTCACCTCTGCTCTGCTGTCTGGGTCACCTGAGAGACCCAGGTTCCTCTCCAGGCTCCCCCAGCCACCCATGTCCACTGTGGGGCAGAGCACAACAAGGTAGTCTGGCTTGGGTCAGGCTGAACTAGAGACAGGCTCAGAGGGGAGGACAGGACGGGCAGAGGCAGCAGCGAAAGGGCATAACCCTCGAGAGAAAAGGACTTACTGCTGACCAGGTAATCCCCCTGGAAAAAATGGAGGATTCAAAAGAACAGAGAATTATTATTTAATATAGAGACACATCAAGGATGTGTACAAAGAAAAAAAGAAAAATGAACTTATCAACTATGCAAACAACCGCAGTGAGTCATGGTATAAATGTGACAAATGACAGTAAGAACAATTTTCCTCAGGTCAGAGAGGCCAAAGCAGTGTACACAGGGGTCACAGGGACTGGGGCAAGGGGACATCCTGGGGTTCATGGACACTAGGCAGGAAGGAGGTTTCCCAGGTCTGTCTGTCTGTCTGTCTGTCTCTCTCTCTCTTTGTACCAGGGATCGAACTCACAACCTTGAGTTTACCAGGCAAGCACTTGAGCCTCTAAGCTAAATCCCCGGCCTGGGTCTCTTTTCTGTTGGTTTGCTCCTTAGCATTGTGGTCACTGCTCAGTTTTAACATGGACACCAGTTTTAAGGCATTGAGGACAGAAGAGGCCTGTCTATCCTGCCCATCTCTGTGCACCCATAGCCCTCTGCCTCCTGGCCTGAGTGTAAATGCATGCTTTCAAAAGAACCACATTAACATATTGCAGGATTAACACCATGGGTTTTGAGACTTCCAACCACGCTGAGACGAGTCCACTAGCTGGTGCTTTAATTGCAATCATGCTTGGATGTGCAGTCCCTGACTTCCTGACTTGGCTGAGGATTGAGACACATGGTCTCTCCCGAGTTCATTTCTATACCCTACCACCCTGTATCCTATGGAGTTGCAGCTGTGTGGCACAACTTGCTCTCTGCAAAGCCGTAAGGCCCTGTCCTAAGTGCTCGCAGCAATCTAACTTCACCCAGAACTGGACTGCAGCTCCCTGAGCACTGAAGTTGCCTCCAGTCCACATCCATCCTCTCTCTTTCCTGAAGGTTGTCTTCTTCCCTCTCCTCCATCCACTGCTCTTCCTCTATCAGCTCACTCAGTGGATACCTACCCACCCACCATACCATTGCTCTAGACACTAGGAATTAAAAACTGAGTCTTCCCTTCATCGTGCTTCTGTTCTTATGGAGAGAAAAATACTGAACAGGCAGTAGCACTGCAGAGCATCACAGCTGTAAGTGTGGTGAGAAAGTCACAGTGAGAAGCAGACAGGGAGCAGCCAGCACAGGAGGAGGGGCTCTCACTGTTGTTGCAATGGCTGATGACTTACTTAGCTCCCGTTCCTTATCTCTGCCGGGGGGGATATCACCTGCCCTGAAGCTACACACACCTGGCCTATCTCAGAGTTGCTACAGGTGCCCAGCAAGGCCAGTTCTCACCCTGCTGGACACTCTCTGACCCACTCACTTGCCTCTGAGTACCTATCTGTCCAAAGTCTCCTGGAGAGTTGGGTGTAGCTTTTACTGAACCCCTTCCTAAAAGACCTGAGAAGCAGAAGCCTGAGCTCCAGTTCCCATCAGAAGCCGAGGAGGCAACGCAGGGCTTGTGTACCCAAGGGCGCCAGGCAAGGGCCCTGCTGGCACAGGAAGCCCTGCTCTTGAACCTGCCTAGAGACTAAGCCAGACACCTTCTGGATGTTTGTCTTGTTTCTGGTAGCTCCATTTTCCTATGTTTCTTAACAGTGATCTCAGGTTGTTGAGTGACAAAAGGGATAAACAGCTGTGCTGCTGAGGCTGAGAGGAAAGAGGAGAGGAACAAGGAGATAAATCGTGGAGAGGCAGCTGTATCCTTAGTACTCTTGTCTAGTGAGTTTCAAACCACTTACTGGTCCGGGGAGATTTTCTTTAAAGACAAGTCCCTTATCAAAGGCAAGGACTGGTAGAAAAGGAGAATGTGTACTCCAGGACAGGCAAGCAGGCAGCATGATCAGTGAGAAAGTGGGGCCAGGTCCTGCAGGCCAAAGGGCACATTCCTGAAATTGGAAATCATCCTAAGCACAATGGGGAGCCACGAAAAGGTGTGGGTTCCTCCTTTGTTGCTTGCCCTGATGAGCTCTACACAGAAAGGATTCGTTAATTTGGCTAACAACGTTCTGAGTGATCACTTGGGGCCCGCAATGTTCTCGGGATTTGTTTTAATCTGTATCGCCATAACTACCTTCAAGATACAGCACAGCGACTGACCCCTGCTTACTGCTGAGAGATTTCATACATTGGCCCAAGATCACACATCCATAAGTATTGAAGCAGGGGTCAACCAGATCATGGTCCATGGTTCATCAGTGACATGATGCCACCACTGTTCCACTCATCCATCAGCTGCTGAGGGACCACTTGTGTCTACCTTGCTCTATACTCAGCACTGGGCAAGGATTTGGATCTTCCTCGTCAACAGACCTCTATGTAGGTTAGAGATGAATGTTGAAGGAATGGAAAAATGCTTACAATAATTGGGTGAAAAAGTCCAGGTAAATTTTTTATAAAATGTATAGTATATACTTATATTTTAAAAAGCTGGAGAATAATACCAAGAATCCAGAATTTGTAGGGGATATTTTGCTTTGTAGGAGAGATTCCCACAATGAATACTTATTTTTCTAATACCAGCCCAAGTGACCCACAGTTCCAGCCTCAAAGACTCTTAGTCTGGAGCAAAGAGGGTACCCACAATGGAGCTCTGAGAGAAGAACTGATTGCCACGTCTGCCAGGAGGCCAGAAGAGGCTTAGCTTAGTGGCCTGGGAGAAGAGGCCATTCACTTCCCACAGTAGCAGTGTGGCCCAGCATGGTCAGGCTCACTCAAAGTCCACTATGCTGAGAACCCAAGCAGAGGGGATGTGGGCAGCAAGCATGTGGGCTGATCCAGCACACAGGTCACACTGTTAGGCCTGTGGCTAGAAAGTGGTGCCGTCTGTGGTGGCCATGTCCCTAACTCGGGACTCGGCCCTGCTGACACACAAAGTGTCCCTGCTCTGCCACTTCCCCAGGTAGGTAAGTCACTCAGTCCCCCCCACAGGCCTCAGGCTCCTTACCTATTAAATGGAATTCTCCCTACTTTCCAGGGTGAGGCAGTAAGTGGAAGAGGAGATGGCAAAATACATACTTGAAGCTCTGTAATAGTTCTTGTGTAGAGCTCACAGTGAGCTAAGCTCTGCATTAAGTGGCGTACAAAGATTAATGTGTTTACATTTCATAACAAGGAGAGAACTGAGGCCCAGAGTAGTCCAGTGTCTCATCCACTGTTACACATCTAGTAAGCTGCATCCCTGCTTCTCTCACCACACTGTGACAGTGCAGGGAGAAGTGTGACAAGGTGCCTTTTGCTGTGGGTGCTGGGTTCTGTGGGAATGTCTGTTACAGGGTTCTTTCCTTCATGCCATCTTGACATCCCTCCTTGTTCTGTGGTAAGCAGTGCTTCTCTTCTGCCATCTGCTGGCAGCTCTGAACATGGCGGCTCCATCACTCTGGCCCACTGTCCCAGGGCCAGGATGTGGTGCTGTATATTCAGGACTAGACATCAGGCAAGAAACGACCCTCTTCCATCTGACAGCTCAAGGCAGTGCACCAGGATGATAGACATTTTGACACGGTCCAACTGCCACTCATAAGGGGGTGGCCACTAACAGAACAGGCACACCTCAGAAAGAGGGAGGCGATTAATCACCACAGTTTGTAACTGCCACTTTTAAACCAACAGTTTTTTAAATGGAGAATAGTCTTTATAGATTTCCCCAGACATCTACCATACTTGGTCTTCATTTAAGCCTAATGTTCCAAGTTTCCTTTCTATTAGAAGGGCTTCCCTTAGCAAGTCTTTTATAGCAGGTGTTCTCATGACAAATTCTCTTACTTTTCCTTGATTGGAGACTTTCATCTGCATTCCTCAAGGATATATTTTGGTAAATATAGAATTGCTTGGCAATTACTTTGCCTGAACAGCTGAAGGATGTCATGTCTGCCGGCATCCGTGTCTCAGGAGACAAATCTGTCTTTGTTCATTGTTGGTGCTGCCCCGCCTATCAATCAATATTTCTCCCGTTTTCTACTTTTTCATGTTCTTTAGTTTTGAAAATTTGACTGTGATGTATGAAGGGATGGACTGGGGAAGGCATCCTGTTTTGGGTAAGCTGAGCTTTTTGAATATGTAGATTTATATTTTTTACTAAATTTGGGAAGTTTGCAGCCATTATTCCCTTCTATGTATTTTTTCAGCTTTTTATTCTTACTTCTGTCCTCTGGACTCCTTAAATTCTAGACCTTTGATTATTGTTCCACTGGTCCAGGAGACTTTCTTTAAAAGCTTTTTTTCCTCCCTGTTGTTCACACTGGATTATTTCCATTTATTTAAATTCACTGACTCTTTCTTCTGTCATCGTTGTATTTTTTTAAACTGAGATCATTTTTCAAAATTTTACTCTATTTTTCCTCTCTTAATGTGTCTATTTTGTTCTTTTTATCTTTGCTTTTTCTGAGAGTTTATTCTTCCATTTATTTCAAGAGTGTTCAGACTACTTACTGGAACATTTTTATGATGGCTGCTTTAAAATTATTGAATAGTTCCAACAATGTCAACTTGCTGTCTTTCTCGTTCAAGTAGAGATTTTCTTGGTTCTTGGAATCATGAGAAATTATGTATACATCCTGGACATTTTTAGTATTGTTATGACTCTGGTTCCTCTCTGATTATATTCTATTTTAGCAGAAAGTCACTCTATGTAGATTCAGAACACACATTCTAGTGTTCATTTAGTTTTCTGAGACTTCACACTACTATTCTGGTCTGCTCTGTTTGTGTGCTGCCTAGCACACAGTTTGAAGTATCACCAATATTCCACCCATAACTGGATTAACTTGAGTTTTTGTTGTACTGATTCCAGCCAGTTTCATCATGGGCTATCCAGATTGATAGGATTATTTCCAGAAGATGAAAAATATTCCCAAAAGATGAGGAGTATAAATCAAAAGAGGCCTTTATTCTGGGAACACGGAGAGAGAGGACTGACACACCGGCCGCTGAAATCTGGCGATCTCTCTCACGCTGACACGTGGCATGGGGGGGAATATAAGTAGCCTAAGCTTAGGGCAGTGCCCTAAGGCCATTAGAGATGCACAGGTATTTCATTGGCACACATTTGGCACCAGGGGCAGATTCCGAAGGGTGGGGGGATATAGGGTTTACAGGTAAATCTCTAGGGGCGGGGGAGACAGGAGCTCCCTAATTCTGGCTGAGGCTTTTTCTGGCTACAGTGTACGATCTGGGTCAACAACCCTTTCACAGATTTGCTCTTTTCTGAAGCTTCCTCTTCTGTATATTCTGCCCCAGTTCCCTGGTGCACTGCTCCTCACATAACACAGGGCAGGGATGTGGCCAGGGTACCACCCCAGGCTCCATGGCTGAAGCATCCAACAGGAAAGATGCACTTTTTTTCAGGGTGTTCACCCTTTCGGGTATCCTGTGCCTTTAACTTGCTGCATAAGGGTCTCTCTCTTCTCTCTGGTCTGCAGCTGTAGGTTACACATTGTTCTGGTGTCTGGATCAGTTATGCATTGAATTCTGAAGTCCTCAGCCAAGCTACTTCCTTTCTCCACCTTTTGGAGTCTTCAGACAGTTGTCTCATACATTTTGCCCATGGTTTTCAGTTGTAACCAGCAGGAGTGATAGGCTGGAATGGGCCCATTCTATCTTGTCAAGAACCACTGACACCTCCTGAAAGAGCTTCTTGGATGGACTGCTCTGAATAGCACCAAGTGTACAGTGTTCTATGATGCTCCACAGACTCATGGTGAGTTAGGTAGGTCAGCTCTGTTTAAGAGCAACCTGGACTATAGCCACTGCACAACACAAGCAGGGGATGAGCTGCCACAGTTTTCCTGTCCTAGGAAATTCACTTTCTAAGTGTCCCCAAAGAGGACTTCTCTCCCCAACCTTTCATGGTTGGCATCCATGGTCAAGTACCTTTCTCAAGACCCCCTGAGGGACTCACCCCTCCTGTCTTCCAGGGAGACCCCGCCCTACTGATGTTAAAGCTGAAGGCTCTGGAGTAAGACTGGTTCAATTCTAATTTTGCTTCTACAACATGGCTTCTATGTGTCTTTGGGTTGTGACTTCACCTATCTGAGACCCATTTCTTAACCATAGAGAGGGAAAATAATGGAGATTTCATTATTTTTACAACTTCCAATACTATTATTTTGACTACAATGACTCATTGCCTTGACTCTTAATCTTCTTTTATCTTTACAAATGGGAATAAAGAATTTTTTTAAAAAGCACATTGTTAGTGCCGGGGATTTAGCTCAGTGGCACAGCACCTGCCTGGCAAGTGTGAAGTCCTGAGTTCAATTCCTGGTACCTAAAAATTAAAAGATAAAAAGCACAAAGTTTCAATCCTTAACCATTTTCCCTGAGTCCTTACAATGGGCCTGTGGGCATTCAAGACCTGGTCCTGCCACCCCTCAAATTTATCCCCTACCTTTTCCTGCTGACGTTGCTCTGGTTACCTACTGTTCCTCAAATGCTCCAACTTCTGCTGTTTCCAGGCTCTCTGCACATAGACCTGAGTCTAACCATCCCTCCTAGGTGGAGACAGCATAATGTGTTGTTAAGGGAGAGGGCATTAGACTTATACAAAGTAGTGTACATAGATACATTTATATAATTTTTACTTATGTGTTAACTATATTTAAAATTATGTGTATATACATATCACATTTAATGCTAATTATGTGCCTAACTATTTTAAAGGAGTGATTACATATTTACAAATTTTCATGATATCAATCCTCTGTAGGTAGATACTATTTTTATATGATGAAACTAAAGCATGGAAAAATTTACTTATCCGAGGTCATGTAATTAGCAAGTAGCAGTCAGGATTCAAATCCAGGCAGCACAGTTCCTTTTGTTGAAACTGAATACAGACACTTTACAGTGTTTACACCTTAGCCTTCTGAATATTTTTTTTCACTCTTTCTGAGATTGAGGAGCCTTGTCTGACTTTCCCTCCCTGAGCTTGCTTTTCCTTCGTGTGCTCAACACCTTCTACATTACGTGTTTATTTGCTTGTCTTCTGTATCTGCCTGTACGAAAACTCTATGGAAGCAAAGACTTTGCCTCTGGGTGCTGTCCTCAGCACCCAGAACCGTGTTACGGGGCAGGCAAACATATACTTGTCAAATTACGGGGTGGATAAATGGACGCTTTCCTCTGAATACATTTTAAAGAATGCACACTTAATTAAATGAGATGATACGTATTAGGTACTTAGCATAGTACCTGGGACATAAAGGCTATGCCAGTGTTGCTGCTTTCTCTTCCCAGCACACCTGTCATGGGTCTAAAGTACAGTTAAGTCACATGGCAGCTGCCACTTACTGCAGGAAGAAGGCTAGAGGCTGTCAGTGTGAGGCAATCAAACAGAGGCTCCAACACAATGACTGCTATGCTTCTGGAAAGAGTTCTGCTGGAAATGTATGGTGGCAAGACAGTTAAGGCAGGAGACATACTGGGGGTGTGGGGGAGGTCCAAGAAGTATGTGTCTTCATCACAGTGCACACAGAGTTGACATTCTGGGTGGGAATCCTGCATGCGCTTCAGCCTTAGAGCACGGAGATCTTTCTCTGCCTGGAGGCTGCGGCTGAGTAGCGAAGTAGCTTCTCAAGTCACCTAGTCACAGCAAGACTCAGAACCCGGCCAAGACCTCCGTTATCTTCTATGTTCTGGTGTCCTGCTCTGTCGGACAATCCGATCACAGTGAAACCTATGCAGACTAACAGTGTTTAGTAATGTAAACAGACTGAGAAAGAAATTCACTTAAGTTAGCTGCAATCACTATTGCTGTCTTCTACATTTTACAATGGTTCGTTGATATTTTTGAAATAGGGACTTTCAAGATACAGCAGTGGGACATGGACAGACATGATTTCCTGGAAGCTGCTCCTGGTTTGGGAATGTTTGTGACCATCACATCTTACCATGAGGAGGTAAACAGTCTTTTCTATTTTATTATTCAACTTTCTATCCCCTAAAAGCCCCTGAGTCCCCACCCCAGGTTTAGAAGTTCTACACAAGCACTGATTAAGAAGAATGTATGCTTTTCTCCATAGACCTGTCTAAAGGCATGACACAAACACAGGAAGTGCCTAGTCAAAGTCTCAGAGTAGAACAGATATCATGTCCTCACAGAAAGGCTTAGGAGGACTGGAAGGCCTCCCACTGGTCCCTGGAGGCTTGCCAGTTTGCATGCACCTTGCACCTTGAGAAAGTGCTAGGGCTAAGTGACCAGCCCTCTCCTTCCATTCTGGCAGAGCCCTTGTTAAGCAATGCAGCAGCCTCTGGGTCTGTCTGGCCACAGAGACCTCTACCTTCCTGGGTATCAGTGCAAGTCAGAAGTTAGCCTGCTCATGTGGAACAATGTGGATCTTTAGAGTCAGCCCCCAATTCAAGGGCAGACTGTCACCAAAGTGAAGACTCTGGGCAGACTGCCTGAGTGTGTTGGCCCTCAGTTTTCTCATCCGCACAGTAGGTATGACAGACCTCCGTTTCCCAGCCAGGCTGTTTCCTGGACTGTTCTGTCCATTCACTTACCCTGGGCATCCTGCACATGTGCCTCTGGAAGGGTAGCAGCAGGGTGCTGGGCCAAAGCCTTGCACAACAGGACGGGCATCTGATTGGAGGAGAAGGGACTTGATGTAACAGGGCAAAGTCCCCTTCTCTGCAAACTGAGCAACTGTTACGCCAACATTGGACTAGACCTTTTGACAGCCTCCTAATGAGCAGACTGGGAGCTGTGCCACAGAGGACCCAGTCCCACTGGGCTATAGGACATGAGACTCTCTTCTGTTTAACACTCTTCTCTCAGCACACTCAGCACCCCGTGGACCACTTTTGTAACTTCAGTCAGCTGTCAAGACAGCTCCTTCCCACTCTGCTATCTCCATGCTTCCTGCCACACCAAATTCAATTCCCTCCTTTTCTTTCTTAGTAATATTTAAAATGACTTATCTAGGACCACAGATACAGCTGAGTGGCACAGGATCTGCCTGGCAGGTATAAGGTCCTGAGTTCAATTCCTGGTACAAAAAAAAAATCAAATGACTAATCTGAAAATGTCTCTAAAGCTTACTAAATCCAGAATTAAATTTTAGTTGTGTTAAAATTGTTAGATTAAAACCTTATCCATTGGTTTTAAAACACAGAGATTATTCTTTAAAATATACAACTTCTGCCAGGTGTGGTGGCATGTGCCTATAACACCAGCACTCTGGGAGGCTGAGGCAGGAGAATCCCAATTTCAAGCCCCACTTGGGCAACTTGGCAAGATCCTATCTCAAAAATAAAAAGAGCTAGGGCCCTGAGTTTAATTTCCTGACCCCTAAAAAATTGATGGGCCAGAACAGTGACATGTACCTATATGGGGAGGCAGGACCACTTGAACCCATTTTTAGTTCAAGGCCAACCTGGACAACACAGTAGCTCTCTCTCTCTCCTCTCTCTCCTCTCTCTTCTCTCTCTCCTCTCCTCTCTTCTCTCTCTCTCTCTCTCTCTCTCTCTCTCTGCCTCTCCTTCTCTCCCTCTGTCTCTTTTGTACCAGGACTAGAACTTGGGATCCCATGCTTGCCAGGAAGGTGCTATGCTGCCAAGCTATGCCCCTGGCCCAATTCCATGTCTCTCTCTCTCTCTCTCTCTCTCTTTTTTTTTTTTTTTTTTTTTTTGGTACCAAGGATCCAACTCATGACCTCAGCTTGCCAGCCAGGCACTTATGCTGCTGAGCTAAATCCCCAGCCCAATACCATGTATCTTAAGTAATTAAATAAATTCCCAGCTGCTGAGCATGGTGGCACACACCTGTAATCCCAGCAGTTGGGAGGCTGAGGCAGGAGGATCACCATAAATTCAAGGTCAACCTAGGCTACATGGTAATATCTTGTTTTAAATAAATACGTAAATCACAGCTGCCTGAAACATTATCCCTTTGTAGAAAGGAGGAGAAATACTTTCATTCATTCCATAAACATTGCGCACATACATATTATGGGATTGGTAGATCCTAAGTATTTCACTGGCCTAACAATGACAAAATTCTTGGCCACAAGCCTTACTCTCCAGAAAGCTCTTTGCATTTGGAGTGAGACAATAAAGAACAGCTCTCATTTCAACATTTCCTACAGCCCAAGAGCCCCATTTAAAGTTCCTTCTAGTACCCACAAGTGCTGTTTCTGCATAGGCCAATATGTTCAGAGCACAGGTTACTCCACGTCCCTGGCCTCGATTGTGGGTGCTGTAGCATGTGGCTGCTGGCCTTCGGGCTGGTAGGCTCGGCGGGACTGACAGTCACAACAGCTGCCAGCCACACAGGCCTCCACGTCTCTGTATTCCCTTTTCAATCTCCAGTATTCTGGTATAGGAAACTCTGGCTCTGAGTGACTTAAAAACTGTCACACTGCCAACAAGTGGTAACACAGAGATTTAAACGCAAATGTGTTCTTTTCCAATACACCAAACTAATAAGCGTTCAAAACGTTTGCTGAACTGAATATTCACTAGAACAAGACTGCAGTGCCTTGAATACAAAAGCTTTGAAAATGCAATTTACTGGGTGATGACTAGTCACTGAGTATTTCTTTAGGGAAGAGTTCCTTGCTATTTGTACAAAAAAGGAAATAAATTGTAAAACCTGACCCTTGGCTGTAATCTTAGCTGACAAACTTTCTTTTTTTAATGTTGTATTAACAGAAATTAAGTATGAACAAGATCCTTTATTTTCTTCAAATCAAAACTGAAAAGGAGTTTTTAAAAATATGTCATTTTATGTGTGCAATATATATCTCTTTTCAAGATGATTTAAGACTTTGTCTTTTAGAGAAGTTCTAAGTTCACAGCAAAACTGAGCAGAAAGTAAGACAGAGAAACTCTCCTGTCCTGCCACACAGGGGCTCTCCACTATCACTAACCCCAGGAGAGGCATGTGTTTGTCATAACTGATGAATCCTCGCTGACCCTGACTATCTCTCCAAGCTCACAGTTTATGATGCATTTGGCATCATACATTTTAGGCGTTTACACAAATATGTAATGGTATGCTTCCACTGTGGACTGTCACAGCATAGTTTCCCTACCCTAAAGGTCCTCTGTGCTCCATCTACTCCTTTCTTTATTTCGATCCTTGGCAACCACTGATCTTTTTATTGTTATATAGTTTTGCCTTTTTCAGATTTCCACACTGGCAAATGTTTGGAATCAGTGTGCAGTCTTCATGGCTCTTTTGCAGTCTTTTCAGTGCCTCTCATTTAATATTTGTTTAAGGTTCTTCCGGGTCACTACATGGCCGTACAGCTCATTTCTTCTTAGTGTTGAATAATATCCCATTTTCAGGATGTGCCACAGTTTTTATGTTCACCATTAAAAGGACACCTGGGCTGCTTCCAGGTTTGGGTAATAATGATAAAGTAGCTATAAACAACTGTACGTAGGTTTTACTGTGGACCTACGTTTTCATATTATTTGGAAAAATACCAAGGAGTGTGACTACTGGATCATATTGCAAGAGTACACTTAGTTTAAAAGAATGCCATCTGCCTCCCCTGGTTACCACACCCTGCTGCAGTATTACCAGCAGTGAATCAGAGCTCCTGCTGCTCACGTCCCTGCCAGTGCTTGGGGTTTTCAGTGTTTGTCATTTGGGCTAACAGGTGCAGAGCAGTACTTCGCTTTTTTGATTTGCACTTCCCTGATGACACATGGTGTGCAGCTTCTTCTCATGTGCTTATTTTTCATCTGTTTATCTTCTTTGGTGACTGTCTGTTTAGATATTTGCCCATTTTAAAATTGGGCCGTTGTTTATTACTGAATTTTAAGAGCTCTTGGTATGTTTCAGATGAGTCCTTCATCAGAAATGCCTTCCACAAATGTTTCCTCAGTCTGGCTTACTTTTTCATCCTCTTTACATTGTCTTCTCCAGAGCACCAGTTTTAGCCTTTTTGAGTCTACCACATCCATTTTTCTTAGATCATGATTGTCATACCGAACAAATCATTACTAAATCCAAAGCCATCTAGATTTTCTCCTGTTAATTTTTAGTTTTATATGATCTACTTTTGAGTTAATCTTTGTGAGAGGCATATATGGTCCATGCCCAGATTTGGGATTTTTTGCATATGGATGTTCAGTTATTCCAGGATGTTTTGAAAAAGCTACCTTTTCTTCATTGCACTGTTTTTATTTCTGTGTCAAAGACCACTTAACTATGTTTATGTGGTTCTATTTCTGCCCCAACAATCCATTTGTATGTTCTTTTATCAATACTACTGTGTCATGATTACTGTAGCTTTATAGTAAGTCTTAAAATTTGGGAAGTACCAGTTCCTTCACCCAGTCTTTCTTCCTCAACATTATTTTAACAAATGCAAGGCAAGAGACCACATGACAGGCTGCTGTGATAGCAGTTAGGCATATGGTTTAATACATGGGTTCAGGCAGGAAGAGAGCAATAAAGCCATCTGCCTCAAACAAAGAGAAGTATATCCCTTTTATATGGGTGGAAAGAAGGCAGGGGACACTAGATGGGAAGATTTAATAAACATCTGTGGTCAGAGTTTTCTGGCAGTCTTGCACCTCAGTGGGCAAAGTCCTTGAAGTGTTCGGTGTAAATTTTCAGGCATCCCCAGACTTGTGGAGGACATGCAAAATTCCTTGTCCTGTCTTATATCCTCCACAACAGCCTATGGTTGCCTATGACAGCCTTGGTCCTGAGCTGAATTCCCTGAAGAGTACTGCTTCTGCCGGCAAGCAGGCTGGGGGCTGGGAAAGTCAGGTCCAGAAGGAGCCTTACAATTATGTTAGCTTTTCTGAGTCTTGTGTTTGCACATAAACACTAAAACCAGCTTGTCAGTTCAGTGGTGCACCCCTAGAGTTCCAGATATGAGTAGTCTGAGGTGGGAAGACCATAAGCCCAAGTGCTTGAGACCAGTTTGGGTAACATAGTGAGTCCCCAGCTTAAAAAAAAAAAATAAAGTAAGGCTGGAAATTTAGCTCATTCACATAAGCACCTGCCTAGCAAGCACAAGGATGTGAGTTCAATTCCTGGGGGAAAAAGTAAAGTATTTTGCTTGTAAGATAGTGTAGAAAATTGGAATACTTTCTCCATTAAGTGTTTGGTAGAATTCAGTAGTGAGTCCATCTGGGACTTTCTGTTTCAGAAAGTTACTCATTTTCTTGATTCTTTAAACTTTGTACAAATTTTAGCAAACTGTGTCTTTCAAGAAGTCAGTCCATTTCATCAATGTTATCAAATCAGGGGGTACAGACTTGTTCATAGTATTCCTTATCTTGAAATGTCTGATGGGATCTATAAACATGTCTTCTCCTTAATTTCCGATATTAGAAGTTTGTGTCCTATGTTTTCCCTTATTTTGGCCCAAGGCCTATTGGTTTTATTGATCGTTTCAAACAACTAGTGTTTAGTTTAAGTTTTCTCTATTCCTGTTTGCAATCTATGTCAGTTAAACTAGACTGTTGACTTGACTGTTTGCCTAGGGTATTAGTAAAGCATAACTCTTGGGGAGACCAGTAAACAGATTAGATTAGTCCATGCAGTACAACACTGGGCCATGTAATACAACATATTTAAAAGACTAGGATCATACAGTGTACGCTCTCAGACGACAATATAATTAAACTGAAAATTCAGTAACAGGTGGAAAAACCTCAAAATAGTTGGAAATTAAATAGCATGCTTCTAGTTAACACATAAGTCACAAAATTTCAAGAGAAATGTGAAAATATTTCAAAAGCTGAAAATATATAACATATGTGGAATGTGGTAAAGTAGGGACTAGTGGAAAATTTAAAATATTGAGCACATACTAGAAAAGAATAAAGGTCTAAAGTACATGATCCAAGTCTGAAAAAAATATATATATTCTGCTGTTGTTGCTGAGGTAGTGTATAGATGTCAGCTACAACCAGCCAACTGACAATGCTGCTGAGTTCAACTATGCCCTTAACTTGCCCCCTACATGAGACCTATCCATTCTCATGGAAAGGTATTGGAGTCTTCAATTGAAATGGTAGACTAATCTATCTTTTCTTATAGTTCTGTCAGTTTTTGCTTCACATATTTTGGTGGTTTGTTGTTTTTGATGCTTGGTAGGTTGTATGTTAAGGATTGCTAAATCTTTTTGGAGAATTGATCCTTTTTTCATTATGTAGTTGGGTTTTTTTTATCCATTTTGACAATGTTTTTTAACTCATATTTAGATGACTAACAGTAGGTGTTTTGTTTTGTTTTTGTTGTGCACTAAGCTACATACTCAGTCCTTTTTATTTTAAGATAGGGTCTTTTTAATTTGCTCAGGCTGGGCTCAAGTTTGGGATCTTCCTGCTTCAGCCTCCTAAGTAGCTGAAATCGTAGGCACACACCAAAGCTAAGGTGATTATCAGTATAGTGGATTACAATCTCTAGATTACTATGTATAGATTACTACCTATAAATTTGTTACTGCCACTAGTCATTGTCCTTGTTCTTTGTTGCAATTTTTGCCTTCCTTTTTTTTTTCCTTTTTATTTGGTACCAGGAATCAAACTTGGGATATCGTGCTTGCCAGGCAGGCACATATGCTGCTGAGCTATATCCCTGGCCCTTGTTTTTTATTAACTGAGGATTTTTCTGATTTTCCATTTTCAAATAATTGTATTATTTCTCATTTCTTAGCATAAAAACTGTATTTAAGAAGTTGCCCTATGTCTTGCAATATACATTTACAACAATCTAAGTTCACTTTCAAAAAATTATATTGCTCTACAGATAGTGCAAGTACCTTATCATAACAAAGGATGCCTAATTCCTTCTGCCCTTCATATCCATGATTCCATTAACCATTCTTACACCGTATATAAACTCAAATACATTGTTCCTGTCGTTTTGATCAAACTATCATCTATCCAATCAGTTAAGAGTAAGAAAATGTTTTTTCTCCACCTATTCTTCCTCCATACTTTTCCGTTATGCAGATTTGAATTTCTGACTTACATAGTTTCCCTTTGTTCTGAGGAAATTTTTTTTTTGTCTGAGACATTTTTCAGTCCAAGCTCGCCTTGAACTCACCTTATGGTTCAGGCTGGCCTTGAACTCACAGCAATCCTCCTGCCTCAAACTCCCAAGTGCTGGGATTACAGGTGTGTGCCACCACACCTGGCCTGAAGAATTTTTTAAAGAAACATTTCTTATACAGCAGGTCTACTAGAGACAAACTCTCTCAATTTTTGTTTTTCTGAAAAAGTCTTTATTTCACTATTGAAGGATAATTTTAAAGCGCACAGAAGCCTAGGTTGGCGGGGGTTTTTCCGATACATTAAATATTTTGTTTCATTCTTCTCATGTGCGTGGCTTCTAACCATTGCTCCCATGTAGGTCAGGCTCCTCTCTCTGGCACCTTTCAAGATGTTTTATTAAGCCCTGGTTTTCTATAGTTTTACTATGATACATCTATGTATAGTTTTCATCATTCCTATTTGGCTTGGGGCTCTTATCCTACCTGGATCTGTGTCTTAGTATCTGTCATTAACTGGGGGGAAATTCTGTCATCATTGCTTCACATATTTCTCCTTTCCTTCCTTCTTCTTGTCCCTTTATATATAAGGTACACCGGTGCAGTCGCCCCCACAGTCCTTGTGCATTCTGTTCAGTTTTCCTCTTGGTTTTCAGTCTGAGGAGTTTCTACTGACAGCCTCCAGCACAGAGCTTCACTTCCAGCTGTATCTAAGTAATCCATAAGGACCATTCGTCATTTCTTTTACAGTGCTTTTTAACCTCTATCATTTCTCTTAGAATTTCCATTTCTCTGATTGTATTCCCCATTTTTTCTTGCATCTTGTCTACTTCTTCCATTAGAGCTTTTAGCATACTATGTTAATTCTTGACCTGATAATTTCAACATCCATGACATATCTGTATCTAGTTATGACAATTTTTTGCCTTTTAGTATGCCTTATCATTTTTTTGTTGAAATATACACTTGATGTACCTGGTATGGCTCCCAGAGACATTTTTGCTCCGTTAAAATGTGATTCTTCATATCCACCTATTTGTCCAATCTGAGGAGCAGAGGTTTACTGTGTGACCTCATTTCTCTAACAGATCAGAGAACTACAGCAGAAACATGACACCAAAAGGGTGCAGTGGCACATTGTGCGTTCCTCGCCTGGTATCTAGGAAGCTGGGGGAGTAGGGACAGAGCAAGGGGCCAGGAACAGTACAGGCTTCAGGGTCATACCTCCATGACTTGTTCCCTTTGGAGGTCCCACCTCCTCTCCTAAGCCTTCATCACCTCCTAACAATGCTGTCATATCATAAATGCATGAACAGATTAATCTATTAGATGAAGTTAGTCCTCATAATCACTTTCCAGAAAGTCAGCAATCAAGCCTTTAACATCTGAATTTTACAGGAAATTTCAAATCCAAACCATAATAGTTGGCTTTCTTTAAACTTAATCCTCTATTTAAAGGTATTAAAGTTACTTCAAAAATACAATTTTCCTATTATAAATGTCACAGTGAATATATTTTGACTACTTTGCATATGCACAGAATAAATTTCCATAGGTAGAATTGCTGGATCATGATAATATACATTGTAATTTTTTAACACATATTGTCTAATTCCTCTCTCTAATATTTGTTTGATTTACAATCCAGTGGTACTTGGAAAGCTTATTTCTCCATACTTCCAGAATGTGTACGCATTCATGTGTGTGCACATACACAAAGCTAAGGAGAACCCAAACTCACACATGCTAGACAAATTTCTCTACCATTGAACCCTTTAAAAAATTTTTTGAGACAGTCTCAAACTTTCAGTCCTCCTGCTTTAGCCTCCCCAGTGGCTGGGATTACAGGCATATACCACTATACCTTGATATTTCTGAGTACTTTTAAATCTTTATCAATCTGGTAGTCAACAAAAGATGTCTTACTCTAGCTTGAATTTTTTATTGCTTAAATGCTGAATATCTTTCATGTTTATTAGTCATTTAATTTCTTAAGAATTTAAATTATGGAATTCCTCAATTGTAGGTATTATTATCAAAGTTATTTGGCCCACAAGGAACATTCTATTTTACTTCACATTTGCCTGGAGAACATGTCATTTGCTTAGAATCTAATTCTACAAGGCTTATATCATTTGGTGGGAGTCGACTGGTAAGTATACACCTCCCGCATCCTTGCTGATGGACACAGCATCACACTATTCAAGCATGACATTGGTATGCAGAGCCATTACACACAGACTGGCTAGAAATTTACTGACCTCCTGGGTCGGGTTCTCAGTGCAGCAACCAAAGAGGGAGCTGGGGATCTTGGAAAGCATTCAAAGGAGAGCCACGAGGTTGATTAAAGGGCTGGAAACATAGAAGCTGTGAGGGAAGTTAAAAGAACTGTGATTATTCAGGCTTGAAAACAAGTGATGGCTGAAGAGTAAATTAATAAATGGAATTCTAATAAAACACTTACACAATAGATGGTGACTTTCCTAAGCATTTTGAGGAGAGAGGAAGAGAATTTGTACTTTAACACAAGAAATTCAGTTATATACAAAGAAAAATTCCCCGAGAGCATTAATCACATTTTCTCAGTAACAAAGGCATTTGCCTGGTAGCAAATTTGATGGTCAAAAAGTTACAAATATATTTTCAGGTCAATAGGTTACTACATTATTACAAGAAAGGTTACAGTGTAGAAGAGACAATATAGTCCATGTGGGACAAAAGAGAGCTCAAGAATGCAGTGGTGCCTTATTCATGAAAAAGGGGAAGGAGAGAAAGGAGAGAGAGGAATGGAAGAACATAAAGAAGGGGGAAGCAAGGAAAAGTATGGAACTGTTTTTACAATATGCTATTTCTTCCTTTCTACTGCTTGAACAGCGTATCCACTTAGATATTCGAATTGGAGAACATGACCTTGATACAGCAATTGCTCAGGCAAAGGACAAAGTTAATGAAGTTACTTTCAAGCTTGAACATCTAATTGAACAAATTGAGCAAATACTTAAAGAACAAAACTATCAAAGGGTCAGTCTGCCTACTCAGCTTATTTTATCTCTTCCTGCCAAGAACACATTTCTAAACACAAAGCTTCAAGACCAAGGAATAAACTGCCTGTTCTTAGATCTTTTGGGGGCTAGAACTGAGTGGATATGGAGATGGGAGGGAGGGAGGAATCTTTCTCCACTATCTTCTGGACCAGTGGCTCCTCTAGGAAAGAGAACTACAGCTCATTCAGCTCTTTATCCCCTTTGCTGAACAAGGCAGCCAGCAGCTAAGGCTGTGAGCTTACAGAATGAACAAATAAATGCTGCCACACGCCTTCCGTGTACTTACAGAGTCACAAGTATGCCCATTTTCTAAATCATAATTTCGTTCTTGTGATATCAAATGTTTTGGATTTTTTTCTGGTGGTTTTTTTGTTTTTGTTTTTGTTTTTTTTTTGCTTTTGTTTTGTGGTACTGGGGATCAACCCAGGGCCTCTGATATATTAAGCAAGTGCTCTACCACTGAGCTTCATCTCCAGCCCTTGAGGGTTTTTTGACTCACTGTGTTCAGTGGACATTCGTCAGATATGAGCTCAAATCTGCTCACCACTCACTAATTTTGTGTCATCTTTAAGCCTTAACTTCTTTGTCTGGAAAAAAAGTAAGCACAAGCATGATAAGGCAAGGAAGTTCTAGACACAGTGCCCAGCATAAAGGACTCCAATGATGAAAATCTATCACAGTTGGGTAGGTAATGCTGCTTTGCCTGATGGTTGCAAATAAAATGTATAAAGCAACACATCATGACATTTTACACCAAAATATAAATATGCTTTTCAGATGGCTTTTTACTCTTTCATATTTGGTTAAACCACTGATTTTGGCTGAGACTGCACTTTGGCCAAACATACCAATTGGGTAATATTAAATATCTTAAACATATATAGCAACTTTATTCACACATTAAGCCAGATTTGATGGGGCACTTCCATAACCTCAGCTACTCTGGAGGTAAGGCAAGAGAATGGCAAGTTTGAGGCCAACCTGGGCAATTTCCCAAGAACATACCTCTAGATAAAAAAATTTTTAAAGGTAGGAGATGTAGCATAGTGGTAAAAGTGTTTGCCTAAAGCTCAAAACTCTGGGTTTATCTCTAGTAACACACACACAAAATTACACATTTAGTACTTCAAACAACTAAACCCATGTATTTCTCTTCTGCACAGGACAGAGAAGAAAATTTTCGAATGATCAGCGAAGACACAAATAGCAATGTTTTATGGTGGGCTTTAGCACAAACTTTAATCTTTATTTCAGTTGGAATTTTCCAAATGAAATACCTTAAAGACTTCTTTATAGCCAAAAAAGTTGTTTAAAATATTATCATTAAAGACAAATAATTTTCATGTTTGAATAAACCAAAATGCATGCACAAATATGTAGCGCTTTTATGATTTCAAAGATGTCAGAGGTTGAAATTAATGTCATAGAGTTACAACACTGATAAAATGTGATGTCAACAAGGTAGTTCCTGGGCCAGGCATGGTGGGCACGTGGTAGGCACATCTGTAATCCCAGCACGCTCGGAGGCCGAGGCAGGAAGATTGCCACAAGTTCAAGACTAGCCTGAGCTACATAGTGAGTTCAAAGCCAACCTGTCTCCAAGAAAAAAAACATAGTTTCTGAATTTAATAAAACAAGTACAGGGGCCGGGGATTTAGCCCAGTGGCATAAGTGCCTCCCTTGCAAGCATGTAGTTGAGTTTGATCCCCGGTACCCCCAGCCCCTCCAAAAAAAAACCCCAAAAACCAAAAACAAGTACATTACCTTATTTCAAAACTGATATAAATCAGCGCTGTGCAATAGAAATAAAATGTGGCTCCATATAAAATTTTAAGCTTTCTTAAAGGAAGGTAAAATTAACCCTAGCAGCATATATTTAACTCAATATATCAAAACACTATCTTTTTTAAAATATGAAACTCCTCGTAAGATAATTTTAATACTTGTTTTGCCTTAGTCTTGGAGACTTAGGTTGTATGTTACACTCACGTTACAGACCAGTTTGGGTCTACTGCGTTTCAAGGGTGCAGCAGCCTCAGGTCACAATCAAGGCACTGCAGGGACGAGTGCACCCTCTCCTGCTGTGCTCCTGAGAGTGTTACTATGAGTATCCCTTAAAAAAGAGGCTCTACTCCACCAGTACTTGTAGACTGACAGCATGGAAGGATCTGGCATCTTGTGAGGAGGATAAACAGTATTTAGGAAGCAACCGCGTGTGTGTGCCCGCGCGCTCAGGCCTGCATGTGTACGTGCATAATATTAGGATCCAACCAGAGTCACGTGTGTGCCAGGCAAGTGCTCTACCACTAAGCTTAATTCCCAGCCCTTCAACTTGATTTTGAAATCATAAGCTCACTGGAAGTTGCAGATGTGAAGTCCCTCCCGAAGTGTTATTTGTGCAAAGGAAGGCTGCTCCCAGAGGCCAAGCCCCTTCTCACGCGCTGTGGGGGCAGCTGGGCTCTACCCCACCCCCACCCAGCCATGCACCCTCGTCCTTGTCCTCCCGCAGGCTCCGTGGACCCCACCTCTGCCACAGCTCTGCCTTGCGCAGGCTGTGTTGTCCGCCACTCATCACCTACCTTCCTTGTGTAGAGCTGGGCACCTGTCCACTCAGGCCTACTGCCACCATGGGTGCCCACCGTGGGTGAACGTGGGCTGACAGAAAAGCCGTTCCAACCGTGAAGGTGTGGACTGCTGAGGTGGAGCGCCAGGTGCCAGGTCCTCCCACCGTGCTTGCTCAGCAGTACCTGCTCCAGAATCCCTGCAAGTCTGGCAGTGTCACAGAGGCCTGTGGGCCAAAGCTGTACTCCAATGTGCACGGGCGCAGACCACCCCACTTCGCACCTCCACGCGGGGGGGGGGGGGTCTCAAACCCATTTTGGCGGGATGTCTCAGTGCGCAGGCGCCAATTCCACAGTGCGCAGGCGCGGAGCTTTTGCCCGGCAGAACCGCCTCCGTGGCTTCTTCGCCTTTCTCGGCATGGCCAACTGGGTGTTCTGCAACCGCTGCTTCCAGCCGCCGGACAGGAAGTCGTCCTTTAGCCTGACCAGTTGCGGGCACGTGTACTGTGATGCCTGCCTTCGCAAAGGTCAGGGCGGCCAAGGCCGGCTTTGTGAGCTTTTGTTCCCAAGGACCCGCAGGCTGCGGAGAGAGGGCCAAGGCCGAGCCGAGCCGAAAGGCGTGGCCCCGCCGAGGCCGGGCCTGTGGCCAAGCACCGGGTCCACACCCCGGCCGGAGCCGAGCCAGGCCGTGGGGCTGGGTGACAGTGACCGGATCCCAGAGTGTGGAGGAGCAGCGGTGGAGGGTGGAATGTTGCCTTGGCGGGAAAGAAGGAGATAAACCAAGAGAGGAAGAAGAGGTTGGGTGAAAGGAAAGTGAAGGAGCTGATGAGCTCGGCTGGGCCGGCCCCCAGACTGCCGAGAATGTCGTGAAAGCGAGGGTAGGGGACCTGGTGCCTTTGAGGCAGGGGCTGCATCCCACAGGTCTCACTCTTGAAGCTTGAGGATGTTTTTCCAAAAAGCCACGGTCACTGTGTGTTGGAAGCATACTAAGTACATGGCCCACAGAAATAATGTGGTGAAAAGGGATAGGGTCTCTGATCAGAGCTGTGACTTAGCTGTCCAGGACCCTCCTTATGTGCTGATGTATATTCTTCTAGAGTTTTCCCTATAGATGCAGATATTCAACACAAAAATGATATGTATGTTTACCACTTAGCGACCTGCTTTTATTACTTACTGGGATATGGATTTCTTTCCCTATTAAAAATGTATAACTTTTAAGATTGTGAAGTACATATTTTAACTACCATATTGTAAGTTATTTGATTTCCTATTAAAAGACAACTGCTGTTGTTCACTTTCTGATTTTTTCCCCTTAAAGTTCATTCCTAAAGATGGGATTGCTAAGCTGGGAGTGTGGTCATTAAAATGGACCAAATTGCCCCCCTCCCCCATGTGTTCCTTGATGTTCTCAGCATTGATTTGGGAGCATGTGTTGGCCTCTCAATATGGCCTGGCTTTCTTACGTTTATTGGCTACTTGCACTTTTGCTGATTGCTTTTTGGGGTCCTCTCACAGCCTTTTATTGGAATATTTGTTTTTAGTTGACTTAGACACACTATTTATCAGCTATTAACCACTTTGTCAGTGAGCTGCAAATGACTTCCTTTATCGAATCTCTCAGTCCTCCCAAGCAGAATGCTTAGATTTTTGTGAGTCAGCTCTGTAATCTTTCACTGCAGGGTTTCTGACTATGATGGTACATAAAAGGAATTTCCTTTCTGCAATATGTAATGAAAGAGAGATAGAGGAGGACTCAAGTCAAGGTGACTTGAGTGTGTGTAAGAGGAAAGGGGAGGAGGCCATTCTGGAGGCCATTGGAAGGAGACCATGCTTTCCATACCAGGCCACCACACTCTGTGAGTTGCTGAGAATCTAAGGTGAGCATGGCTCAGACCCAGAAGTCCTCCCAGAAAGTAAGAAGGCAGAGTGAGTCAGATGGTTGTATGGCTCATACACCTGGAGGAAAGGGTAGTTGGAGAGGGAGTTGAGGTAGATAATGAACAGGGGGCTTCTTTTTTTCCCATTGGATCATAGGGCTTTCTTGTTTGAGTATTCCCCCACAGGGACAGGAGTAGAGGGAGTACTCAACAAAATCGGAGGGATCTCCTGGAAGTGCTGCAGAGCTAGCAGTGTTGGAATACACATATTTGTGACTCCACATCTCAAGTGCATTTGTCCCAGTTCTTGGCTGCACTGGGGAGCAGAAGAAGAAGACAGCAGCAGGAGTTCCCTATGTTAGGGGCAGGTGTGCACCCTGGAAAGATGAGGAAAATAGAGACTGTGGCCTTGGAAGTGGCTAGTGAAGAACAAAGCTCACAGGCATAAGGAAGTGACTACTTCAAGGAAGGAGCTCCGTACAGGAAGGAGTTCTGTGTTTCCTGATGCTGGATGCTGTGGGGGCCTCGGGTGATAGCAGAGGTGCTGATTTGGAGCTTGGGACCTCCATGTGGAGAGCAGGTGGGAATGGCAAGAAGGCCAGCCACTAGAGCCAAGTCTCCAGGTGATGATGACCGTCTGTGGAGAGAAAGATGGTGACGTGGGACTAGAATCCCTCTGGATATGTGCCAGAGACCTGGAGGTTGGGCAGGTGGATCGTTAGATGCTAGCAGTTTGGATATAGTAGCCCTCTGTGCTTAGACCTAGGGTAGTAAATTAAGATTTTACTGTAAGATCTAATTGTAATGAATATCTGGAATAGATTTTTTTCCATTGCTGGGGATCAAACCCAGAGTTCACTCAACTTGGCAAACATTCTGCCCCTGAGCTACATCTCCAGCCCTGAGATAATGACCTTAAGTATTGTTGATCTTTATGACCTTTGCTTTGGTGGATATTTGTAAAGCAGGACAAAGAGCTGTTAGTTGTATAAATCATTGAACAGTATGCACACCCGTAGCATCATTCTGTGTCTGAAACATGAAAACACTTAACTGCCATAACCCTGCATATTTCTTTTTTATGTATTTCTGGAAGAAATGTCATTTATTCATATGTATAAGATAGTATAACATAAAATCTGTTTTTATTTTATAGGCAAAAAGGATGAATGCATGATTTGTAAAGTTCCTTGTCGTACAGTTTTACTCACAAAACATGTAAGTTGAAACCTATAGAATTTTGAGTGTTACAGTAATATTTTCTTTTAATCCCCTTTTGAGATTTAATTTTAGTCACTTGTGGTATCTAAATTTTTCATTTGTTTTGCTGGATTAACTGCATAGTATGAGACTTCTGCATAATCAACGTGCAATTAGGATTAAGTTTCTAAGACCTACTAATTTCCACTCTCAGTCATATATTGGCTTTCACTCACCATGTCTTGGACCATACTGTGTTCTTGGGAATGAAAATGAGTTAGAAAGATTTCTTCAGCATGATATCAGCTCTTTAGGATACAGTAGAGTTTGGTTCTTCATTGAAATCATCTGTGTGCAATTAAGGAGGTTGTTAATGACAGAGGCTTAAAATCAGGTATAGTACTGTTGCTTTTGGTTTAAAACCATGCCTTTGGTTCAGTCTAAAATACATTAGTTTCATGTGTTCTTTGGTACTTCGTTTGGAACTTAGTTACAAATGATTGTTCTTTTCTGCTTCATTCTCCAACATGTATTTCATTCTAATATCTTAAAATGTCACGATTTCTTTATTACAAGTATAAAACAAAGTTACACAGAAGTTTAGACAATATAGAAAATTAATGTGAGAGTCACCCAAGTCCTGTTTCTAATGACAGCATCCATGAGTTTGATGTCTATTCTGTGTTTTTATAATTTACCTTTATACAAAAGTGTTTTCTCAGGTGACACTATGGGACACCCACTTTTAGCTTTTTATTTTATTTAAGTTTAGTTTAATTAATTTTTTTGGTCTGAGGACCTAACCCAGGACCTCCTGCTTTCTAGATGGTATCCGCTTTTAAAACAACTACATAGGGCTGGAGATTAAGCTCAGCAGCATAAGCACTTGCCTTGCAAGCAGGCGGTTATGAGTTCAATCCCTGGTACTGATAAAAAAAAAAACAAAAAAACAAAAAAAACTACATAAGGGCTGGGAGTTTAGCTCAGGAGGCACAAGCACTTGTCTGGCAAACACAAAGTCATGAGTTCAATCCCTGGTACAAAAAAAACAAAACAAAACAAAACAAAACAAAAAAACTACATAAAGTGCAAGGTGCTGAGTTTGATTCCCTATATAAAAAAAAAAACACTTAAAAAATATGTATTTCAGCATTTTCCTTTTTTTTTTTTTAAGAGACAATCTCTCTCCCTGCTGCTTAGTTCAGGCTGGCTTTGAATTCACTTTGTAGTCCAGGCTGGTCTCGAACTCCCAGCCATCCTTCTGCCACAGCGTCCCAAAGGCTGGAATTACAGCATTTTTCTTTTGATGGGTTTGTGATGTTTTTAGCTTTTCACTGTTTCCCAAAAAACCCCTTTGTGAACACTTTTGAACAATCTCTCTCCACACTTACAAGAATATTTTTGTTGCCTACATTTCTAGAAGTGAAAAGGCAAGGGAAAAATACTTGTTTGTATCTTTAATAGAAAGGACCTGTTTTCATCCAGTGTATGCAGCAGAAAGTCCCAAGAGCCACCTGTTTCCACCATGCACTGCTGTGCAGCACCACGCCCTGCTGCACAGTCAGGCTCCAGCCAGAGCCTGGAGGGTACCTGGCCCTTTCTCTGTCTTATAATGTTCAGGCCATTTGTTTTCTTCCTTATTCCCTAATAAGTGTAATTCAGACCATCCATTTCCATTTGCACATTGTATTTCTAAGTCACTTTGACTACTGCTTTTCCGAATCATTTCTTTTTTTTTTTTTTATCGGTACCAGGGATCAAACTCACAACTGAGTGATTACAAGGCAGGCGCTTATGCCGCTGAGCTAAATCCCCAACCCCTTCTGAATCATTTCTAAAAAATCTATAATTAATTCTGTTTCCTTTCTAACTTAAGAATTATTTGAAAATGAACTCTTTAATTTCTAAATCACAAGTGTCCAATATTTTTGTTGTCTAGACCAAACCGAGTTGTCTTGGGCTACATATAAAATATATAATATAGTTAATGACTGTAAGTAACAGAATTTCCTTTTAACAATATTTTTATCATAACATTTTTACAAGGAGATAACATAAGCATAAAGCTAGCAGAATATTTAACCTTTTTTTTTTTTTTTTGGTAAAATGAATACGTCTGTGTCTGGTTTGATGAAAGTTGTTGAAATTCTCAATAAGTTCCCAAGTTCTCATCAGAAACTTTTAATCAGTTTTACTCCTTGTATTTTTTGTCCTTGGAAATAGTTGTTCACAAGCATATGTAGTGCCAAAAAGTATGGCATGAGTAAAGCGTGATTGGGAAGCATGGAATATTTTCCCTGGAAAAGATAGATCTTACAAAAGTCTAGTAAAACAGACCTGATCATATTTTTTTGACTGAGTGTCTGATTGCACTGATTTATATTCAAATATAATAAATAAACAACCATTTATTTTCTAGCATTAGCAATATTGTAGATGTAATCATAATAATATCATAAGCAAAAAAAACTTTATCTTAATTACTTTTCTCTTGGATGAGACAAAATACGTGATATCCACAAATTGAAGGAGGAAAGGTTTATGTGGCTCACAGTTTATAGAGGTTTCAGTCCAAAGTTGACTTGCTCCAAGGCAAGGTGGCATAGTAGAGAGGCATTGCAGAGGAGAAACAGTCCTTGGTAGGACAAGCAAGAAGCAAGTTTCCCTTTTATCTCATCTAGGCTACAAGTCTTTTGGGTGGTGCCACCCATAGGCCTTCTCATTATCCACACCCAGAACTATGATAAAGTAATTCAATACCACACCTCCTTAATCCCATTATCACACACCCTGCATCCAGCCACTTCCAAAAAGCCTACCTGTGAATGAATGAGGCTTTGGAGGGACATCTAGATAAAACCATAGCACTATGTGATATGTTTTGTATTTCATCTATCCCTGCTGCTAAAAAAGTATTTAGTTTATTATCTTTTCAAATAACATGACAAGCTCAATTTTAATGAGGATGAAAATTTGCACATCTGCTTATTAATTGTAAATGGTCATGTTAACAGTCTCAACAATCTATGTTGAGGTAGATTGAACACTGCTATTGGCAGTTGCTGTGTTTTACTTGCTGTGTAACATCTGATGTGCACAGGTTTCTGTCTGACTGCATGTGTGTTATAAACTGTATTGTACTGTACTGTTGTAGACTGCACTGTGTTATAAAAACTACGAGATGATGTAAAAATGTATCCTTTGGAGATCATTACTGCTGTCCAAGACTCATGCAGGCCATGGGCCGGACATACCTGTTAGATTTTAGCTCCACTGCCATTTTCCAGTTCACTTTTAGTGTTATGGCATTGTGAATGGAGAGTATGACCACATGGTGTCTTCTTTAGTTAGCAGGGTTCTACATACAAAGTGGTTTGTATGTAGTTCTGTAGAGGTGTGGAAAGCATGTCATCTTTTGTTCTCTATAAGTGAGGGAAGCCATGGGAACATCGAGGTGTGGCTACTTGATGCTCTGTACCACTATTTTGCACCATCTGGGGTCTTACTCCAGCAACCTCCTCAGAGTCCACATCTCCCTCACCTATCTTACCATCCCTACAGGAGCTGTGGGCCTTCCTGCTCTGCAGCCTGCAGCTGGCAGGCTCTGCCTGGGTGCAGGTCAGATCTAGGCCTTGGTGAGTTCCACCTCAGGAGGAAAGCCAGGGCCTTTCATGCTTGTGGCTGCATGGCCTGGCCTCTGTACCCTCCTCTTCCCCATACTAGTGTCCCCAGCTTGCTGCTTCTGTGGAGCCTGTGGCTTCCACTTAGTGCTTGGCCTTTTGCTGCCTCTGAAACATTCTCTCAGCATTGCTTCATCTCCCGCAGCCATCAGGTCTCTGAGGAGAGTCATCTTCCTGGCAGTTGTCCCATCTATGTTGTGAAACAGATGTGTCTGTGACTGTGACCCGAAGCAGGAAAGACTTGTGCAGCACAGGGTCTGCCCTGTGAAGTAAGTGTCACAAGACAGTGGTTGTCTCCACTAAGTGTAGCATCTTCTGGTGCTTCTCCTCTGATCTGTTTCTTTAAAACAAAGTTTTGTTAGATGATTTCACCTGACCAGCAGCGTAACACATATCATTATACAAAAGATACTCCTGAGTCAGTTTGTCCACATGTAGAATAATGTACATTTATCAGTTTGTCATGAAAATGGGCATTATGGCCACACATAGGAAACAGAGTACCACTGTACTGAGCCCGTTTAGGGAGCAGGAGATGGAAACTGGTGTCTGCAGAGCAACATAGATCTGGGGCTCCAGAAGGAAAGCCTTTCGAGAGCCCAGAGCAGAAATGTGGTCCAGTTCCTGAGGAGCTATGAGAAAGGATGTGTTCAGGCAAGGCCTGGCTGGTGTCCACCCAAGAGGGGAGATGATGAAGACCCTATGGGTCTGGAGAAGCCAGTTTCTTTCAATGCAAGTGGTAAGAGTTATGTATGATGTGATAAAGGCCCTATCAGCCTAGGTGTATGCATTCCTGTCCTTGTCGGTTTTTCGTCACTAAGGTTCAATACCTGACACCCACAACTTGAAAAGAAGAGATTTATTTTGACTCAGTTTATAGAAGTTTTAGTCCATAGTTGGCTGGCTCCAAGGCAGGATGGCATAGCAGAGTAGCATGGTGAAAGAGAAGACAGAAAGCAAAGAGTAAAGGGAGGATCTGGGAAAGAAGATAAACCTTCCTAGACCACACTCCCTATAACTTGCCTCTTCCAACCAGGCTGGACCTCCTAACAGCAAGTCAGTCTTAAGTCATAATACAGTCACTGTCCAAAGCCCTGACTGTGAGTACATGAGGCTCTTGGGGGACACCAAGATAGAAACCAACACACCCCTCATACTCTTTCTCCTGGAATAACCCCAGCGAGCCAGCCAGGTTTTAAAGATGCACAGGTGGGAGTACCTCCAAAGTCAGAGGGGTTGCTCTCCAACATGACCCTCCCAAAGGAGGAGCGCTGAAGCCTGCTCTAGAAACTATGTCCCTTCTGCATTGCTGGGAGGTTCTCTAATCATCCAGCCCCGGGCCTTTTTGGATGTTGGGTCATGGCAAGGACCCAGGGGTGTTACTGTCTTTCTAATTTTGGGTTGTATGCTGTTATGGTTTAAATGTGGAGGGTCTCCCAAAGAGTCACTCAATTGAGGTATTGATCTACAGTGTAGCAGTGTCCAGAGGTAGGGCCCTGACTTCATCCATGGGTGAATCCATTGTTGAGTTCATATCTGTGGGCTTACTGGATAGGAGCATAGTTGAAGAAGGTTGGTCATCAAGAATGCATTTTGTCCCAGGTCCTTCTTCTCTAGGGTTTTTGCTTTAGGATTCACACTCTGCAACTGAAGCAGAGCAGGAACTGGTGCAGGAGCTTCCCATCGCTCCTGATTTCATGGTCAGTCTCTTCTCTGCTTCACCACCAAACAATGTATTTTATGTGCACTAAGTTTTTTGCTAAGGATTTTTTTAAAATTATAAGTGGTGTAGAGCTTTTGTTTTTGCTTTTTTTTTATAACTAGCATCTGTTTTTTAAAACTCATTTTGTTAATATGTTGAATTGTATTTATTTTTTAAATTTTAATACCCCATTAGATTCCTGGAATAAATATAGAAATATAGTGAAATCATGTGGCATAGTTTATGTATATAGATGATCTCAGGTTGCTACTGTTTGGCTTAAGATTTTTTTGTTCATGTGTGAGTTGGACCTGTAATTTTCCCTAATGTAATGCTCTTTTCAAGTTTGAGTAAGTCAGTTATTATGGCTTCATGAATAACAAAAGTTAGAATTTTTTGTAGTACAGGGGATTGAACCTGAGACTTCCTGGTTTTCCCTGGATGCAGGAGGACTAGGCCCACTCTCCTGTGGTCCTTAGTCCTGCCCTTCCAAGGTAAAACATTGGTGTTTTGTGCCATCTCTGGCAATTCTAGACCTACATGCAGCTTTTTAAGCAATGACCAGAAGCTTTAAATGATAAACACTGAGCCCCTGGGTTTTCTTTCAGACTGACACCAGCATCCAGGCGCTCTTCACGGGCATAGACACCCTGTGTAAGAAATACTCGCAGGACACTGCCCAGGTGAGTGCTGCTAAGGGGGCGTTGGGAACAGATGTGCAGACACATCATCTCAGACTGTGTGCACTGTGTGTTCTGGAGATCACACCCTTGCAGATGTAGAGTCCATGTGTTTTCTGCCTTGTCTGGGTTCTTTTTACCTTTGCAGTGATGAAGCACCTGTGAACAAAAAGTTTCAATCTGGACAAAGCCCATGTAATTTATTTTGGTGTCATATTGAGACCTGTGTGAGCTAAGTTCAGCCGTGGGCCCCTTTGGGCAGGATGCCCCAGGAAATCCCATTCCTGAGAACCTCCCTCCTGCGGGATCCCTGGATTCAGGAAGCTGTCTTCTGCAAACACACCCAGGGCTTCACATGGCTGCTTGTGCATGTTTCCTGGCTTCATGTCACCTCCAGCTGAGGCAGGAGGCCTGGGAAAATTCGTGCCTACCCCACCCATCCTTGTGATGTCCTCACCCACTCACCATGTCCAGACAAATCAGACAGGTCTGCTTTGCCATCCTCCCTCTCTGGGAGCAATGCCTAAGTGGCCTCCATGGGACCCCATCCCAGATTATGCTCAGCTGTGCCATTCCAGGAAGCACCCAAGGCTAGACACATGGGAGCCAGTGGCAGCCGGATAGGCTGCTCATCTGTCATGCTGCATGCTGCAGAACTCACTCAGGTCAGGACCTGTGGGCCAGAAGATTCCCACAGACCTCAGAGCCACAGGGTTCACCCCAGCACCTCCGCAGGGGCTGCACATCAGAAAGAGACCAGCAAGCCCAGAGATGAACTCAGAGGTCACCATCTGCCCTGGGCTCCATCCTGGCACCATGTGTGCCAATAGAATCACGCAGTCATGACTATGCTTAGGCATTGTTGGCCTCCATCACTTCACCTCACAGCACAGCACAGCATTTCCCAGAGGCTGTGTGACACACGATGGCACACTTGTTTAGGGTGACATAATGGGTTTTTTGTTTGTTTGGTTTTTGGTTTTTTTGGTACTGGGGATCGAACTCATGACCTTGTACTTGCCAGACAGACACTGTGCCACTGAGCTATATCCCTGACCCCTTTAATGGGTTTATTATTTTGAAGAATCAATAAACACTTTTAAATTTCTGTGTTAATTTCTAATAAATGAATAGATAAAACTCACATGAGCAAGTTCCTCAGGTCCCCAGACCAGAACTCTGAGACCTGCTATAGGATGGCACCAGAGACCTTAGCAACAGCCACCTTGGGGGCCTTTGCTGTCCTCTTCCTGAACTCCTTTGGTACAGACAGATTCCTGATGCCTGTGAACCTCTGTTACACAGCCTGAGCCCAAGAAATGTTCATCCTTGCTGTGGAGGCTGGACGCTAGCCCTACAGAGCAAGAGCTCTCAGTCTGCAGAGGTAGAGCCATATGGGTACAAGCAAAGTTGTGGGCTGAGGAGTGTGCTTACCTGGGGTGTCTGCTGCCCCCACCCCAGACACTCACTCCAAGACTCAGAGTTGCTGATCCCTAGAGGAAACTTCTCCCTGTGCAGCCTGCGCTGTCTCTGTCCCTTCCGTGCCACAGTCCCGTCAGCTCACGCACTGTGGACAGAGTCCTAGGCTGTTGTAAGCAGACCTGGTCCAGCAGTGCCTGCACATCCTCTGCCCTGAGTTGACTCAATCCAAGAGGCATAGACTGTACAAGAAAAAGATGCTGGATTCTTTTTTTATTTATTAATGAAATTTTCCTTCTGAGGCTACAGCCTGTGTCTCTAACCCAAGCCAGAGAAACCTTGTGGGTAGCAAAACATCACAGGCTGGGGTGAGACCCCAACGGAGTGCATACACCCAGGAACACTGTTTGGGTTTTTGTCTAGATGTCCCTGAAAAACCTCACACAGTCACAGGATTTTTTTCAAAGGTGGTTGAATCTACAATGTGGTTGATTCATACTGCAGTGCTGGGATTAAAGGTAGGTGATTTTTTGATCAATTCACTGATTAGATTGGTACCGCTCCTAATCCCAGCAGTTTGGATAAGATGAAAGGGGCAAAAAGAGGCCTGCTTTCTCTCTCTCTCTCTCTCTCTCTCTCTCTCTCTCTCTCTCTCTCTCGCTCAGTCTCTCTATAGCTCTCTCTCTCATTGCTTTTTTGTCTTCTGCTGCCATGCCATCCTGCCTTAGGGCCAGCTGATTATGGGTTGAAACCTTATCAACTGTGAGTTAAATCAGCCTTTTTTCTTTTAACACTGGGTGTTGGGTGTTTTGTTCCAGCAGTGAGAAAAGTAACTAAAACAGAATTTAACATATGGGGTCCAGGCTGTCCCTCCCCCCATGCTCACAGTGGATCCCAATGGGTACATATCCCACTAGGCTCATCCCCTTTACAGCCCAGTTCCCCCCCCCCGTTCACCTTGCCTATGAGCTTTGTAGGATCCAGGGACACTATGCCCATGGCTCTGACCTTGATGCAGTCATACCTGCCTGGCTGAGACAGGGTCAGGCAGAGGCTTGTGTGCCATCCTCACCAGGCTCCTTTATCTGAAAGCCTCACTGGCAGAGGAAGAATGCCATTTTTCTGCACCCTGGCGCACACTGCCAGGCCCCTATACCTGACTAGTGTGGACATCCACTTCACTGTTGTCAGTCCCCAGTGGTCCCCAGGTACTGTGCCTGTGAGGTTATGGGTTAGGTCAGTGCTCCAAGGCTCTGTCATGCACAGTGTAGGACAAGAGACAGGCAACCATTAGGTCATCGTGGCTGTCCGTCTGTTCTGTCATGTTCCTGCCTCGCCACAGGAACCTGAGGCAGGAAAGGAAGAGAACAAGAAGCCCCTGAAGTCACAGAGTTCTGCCTATCCAGACTTGATGCTGGTGGGCTCCCCTAGAGCCCTGTGCAGGTACTGGCATCCCACCCCTCCTAGGAGCCCATGGCAAAGACAGGTGGATTCAGCTCTGCACTGCAGTGGGGAAGTATGAGGAGTTGTGACCTGTGTTGCCTCCAGCACTCTGTGGTCTGCATGGGCAGCACTGCACTGTGCCCATTTTGTCCCAGGGATAATGGCTCTTCTGGGCCTGAGACTCAGCCACTCTAAGGAAGACGTCGCCCACTGACTCAGAGGTGGTATCTATGGAGAGGACAAGACGACAAGCCCATCCTCTACCCATGTCCCTGTCCACAGCTAGTTTATCTCTGGTACCAGGCTGCACACTGCTCCCTTCTGTCTGTGGTATAAGCAGACTGCCAGGCTTAGCAGAAGTAACTAAATATACTTTATTTGGCCGTTTGTGATCTGTTCCTGAGTGATGGCAGAGTTAGGTGACTTGGGACAGTCTGGTGTTTGAAGTGGGTGTGTGCCATCATCTGAGCTTTCACTCACCAGAAACAGCTGTCTTCTCTGAGTCAAGACCACTGTTCCCACACTTCCATTGGAGCAGTGAAAAGCTCAACTCCAGCTGTGCATGCAGCTGATATGGGGCTACTGTGGTAAAGTCAGATGGGTCAGGTTTCAGGGTGACCAGCTTGTCCCTGCTGACATGCCATGATTCTCTACTTGGTGCTGGTTGATTAGGAGGCCATCTCGGGCCAGTCACTGTCATCAGAGGACCATACACTGTGGTTGGCCCAGTTGAGTCACATGTCATATGCCTTTGAGGCACTTGGAAAGGAATGGCTGTGGAATGACAAGCAGCCATGGTATCAAGAGTGCTTCTTTGGGCAGGCCCATTGGCTTCCATGTTGGACACGTGTTCCCCACTCCAGGAGACTCAGAGCCAAGTGTCCACACTGGGCAGCCCTGGTGCTAGCAGCTCTCACCCAGAAGCAGCCAGGAGTCTCTGTGGGAGGAGACCATGTGCAGCCACCCACTCTTTCAGCCCCTCAGGTCCCCCCGCCCTGATGTGTATCAACCTCTCAGATTTCAGAGTTCCAAGACAAACACAGGAAGAGGCTGCTCGCCTTCTATCGAGAAAAGGTAAGCAGAGTGATCTGCTGCCTCCTAGGCCTTTTGACCTCTGACATAAAGGTTAGAGGGCCCAGGTGTGAGACTGCTTTTCCAGTGTGCAGTGTTGTCATCGTCTCCCCTTTGCCTGACACTTGTCTTTTGCAGAATCTCTTGCACTACTTTGTGGGCACAGCACAGAGGTTCATCTGCTCAGCTATCTAAAGTTTTTTATTTTGTTTTTGTTTGTGGCACTGGACATGGAACCACCCAGGCTGTGCTTAGAGTACCTGTGCAGTCAGTCGAGGCCAGCATCCCTAAGCAGCACCTGGCAGGGCTGAATGCTTGGCTCTTTCTCACCCCCCCCCCACCTCCACCTCACCCATCAGATCCATGCTGTGCTGTGCTGTGCAGGAGGGCTGGGCTGTGTCCCCTGGGCCACACTGGCTGAAGGCCCAAGGAACTGAGCTCGGTAAGCTGAACTCACTGTAAACTGTCACTCAGTATGGTCCATCTTGACAGAAGTTGTTGCATGTGTTTAGATCTCACAGCTGGAAGAATCACTCAGGAAGTCGGTGCTGCAGCTGGAACGGGTGCAGAGGTAAAGTCCCTGGCTGCCCCTCCTGCTTAGATTCTTGGTTGTAACCTAGGAAGCACAGAAAAGGGCTCTTCTGGATGCATGATCCCTCTAGAGCAAAGGATTGCAGAAGAGAAAACAGAGGGTTTGTGCAGGCAATGAACCTTGATTTCCCCATACTCTAGGGTTGGGGGCACTGGGGCCAGCAGATATGATGCTCTTTGGGTTCCTGTAGAGCATGCCATCTGTGTGCCCAGTGAGAACAGCTGGCTGTTTCAGAGCCCTTGTGTGCTTCCAGTTGAACTAGTGGGATAAAACTTTGGATGAGGTGAATTTTTGTCATCTAATTCACTTTCTTTATTCCTCTATTTAGTATGAAATCATCACAACAGACAGCTTTTAGCACCATAAAGAATTCAATTGCAAGTGAGTCAAATAAACCTGGAAAGGGGAAGAATGCAAAGGTGCATGCTGCTGAGTCACACTGCATATGCACTAACGTGAAGATGTTTTATCCTCTCTCCTTCAGCAAGGCCAGATGGGTATGTGCGGCTGCCAACCAGTGGGTCAGCCCTCGACAGGTATGTGGACTGCTGGGATGGTGTGGGATGGTGGGCAAGTTGTGGGGCCATGAGTCCTGTGGATACTTCCATGTTTCACTTCCCACCTTGCTACCCCTCCATATCCCACTAACCCAGGGCCTGGACAGTTTGCTGGACATCTGACCCCCTTTGTGTTCTTATTACCTCTGTGTGAGGCCAGGGACACTGTCCCTGCAGCTGCAGCAGCTAGTGTGGGAATAATTACATGTCCTGGTGATCTAATAACCCCAATTTCACTGCGGTTGCAAAGCCAGAGTGGCTGGCAGTCCAGCCTGCTTAGATCTGGAGGGGCTGGCCACAGACACACATGGGTGCCTGTCACAGGTACCTGGCGGGTGGCCCCATGTCTAGCTGTCAGACCTGTGGCGTGGGACCCCTTGATTGGAAACCTCATTTAAGCTATCAGTTGCCTAGTCTTGCCTCCCTATGTCCTGGGGAGAACCCTTAAGGAGAAGGAGCAAGGCAACATGACACTAAGGGACCATCTCATAGAGGTTCTTGGGTCTTAGCAGGCAGGTCAACCCTCCATCCTTGAGCTCAAAGGCAGGAAAAGGATGGCACTCAAAGGCCAGCACCTTTCCTGGACCCAGGGAGCTACCCTCCTAGATCTTCCCAAGGATTTCTCACTAGTGGGCAAGAGCCAACAGGCCCTGGTTTCCTGGGGTCATGCCATGACCAAGAGAAAGTCATTGTGTCATGACTACACAGGCAATCAGCTAAGATATGTCTAACTGTCCTGTAGGAGGAGGTTATGGGGCAGAGGTCTGGATTCACATGCTGAGAACCTGGGGAGCTAGAGCTGAGCACTGCTGGAGGACAGTCCAGCTTATAGTCCATATGGATGGGGAGCCGTGTAAAGTGAGAAAGTTCTCAACACATGGGCTGGGTCATCAGAGCCATCCTTGGGACACTGCTAGAACTGTTGGAAGAGAGGGATTTCTGTTCTGAGGTTATCTCTGGGCCAAGGAGGGCTGAAACACAAGTCTACAGGTGTTTCCCTGTCCATCTTTGGGTGAACGAAGGACCAGTATGGGCCCAGCACTAGTAGTGTGACATGGGGCTGGACAGTCCATGTTACCAAAAGCAATTGATATTCTTGCAGCAGGAGTCTAGTACTGTGGCTCTAAGAGGGAGCTGAATGAGCCAAAATGGCATGGAGGAGCAAGAACAGGGAGTTGTCAAGTCCTGTGCTTCGTAAGGTACTCTGATTATGCAGACAGTAGGCATCTAATAGTGTAGAGAAAGTGATTGGTGTAATAGCCACACCCTGATAGCACACAGGAAGAAGGGCCTTCAGGTACTCACACATGGTCTTGCTATGTGCAGTGTGCTGAACTGATGTTTTTAATAATAATTAAGTCATAGGCTAAATTAACGCATTTCACTGTTTGACAGGGTGGAATTGATGGAGGTTGACCTTACTCCTTCCCCAATAAGGAAAGTAAGTACCTCTGTGCTGCCACTGTGCTGTGCCCCTGTGTCACGTGTCAAGTCCTTAGCTGTCCTAAGTGCTCATAAATGGACCTAGTCTTTTAACAGCAAACTGACTTCTAGCAGTGCCCCTGCGCACACATGAGTTCTAAACTCAGCCCCAGAGGACCCTCAAGAACACTGTGTTCTGCCTGAACAGCCAGGCCCATGGCAATGGCAAGGGTGGCCAGGCTCCGTGCTGCAGGAAACAGAAACCCTGTCAGCCCAGGAGAGGCAGATTGGACATGCGAGGACTGAAAAGGAGAAGGACACAGCTGCAGATCAGAGAGAACACAAGGCCAAAGTCCAGGAGACTGCAGGTGATCTGGTCACTTGCCCAGTCCAGGTGGAGGGGCGTCCTGCATGTACCTGGACAGGACAGATACCAGGCAGCTCCAAGATGGGGTGAAAGCAACAGAGTACAAGGTATATGGACAGGGTGGGTGCTCTGACGGTGCAGTCACTACCCAGTCTACTTCCTCAAGAGCCTACCTGGTTCTTCACAGTCAGCAAGAACTGTTCTTGTTAGGTAAATTTGTGCTCCTGGAGGGTTTCCTCCTCACAATGGGCAGAGCCCTGCTTGAGAGAGATTCAGGGAGACTCCTTGGAGCACCCACCCAGAGCTGGGGTCCCACCAGCTGGCCACAGAGAGCTGTGGGCACACCTGCTCTCTACATGTGGACAGCCCACACCTCCTGGGGCTGCTGGCAGGTGATTCTTCATGGAAACTATGACTGTGAAGGAATGCAGGGCTCCCACTGTGCAGGTGACCAGAACTGACAGATGTTTTCTATAAGGTGAAGCCATGACTCAGACATGAGGCAAACTGTAGTCATGAGGGGGGGCTGGGGATTTAGCTCAGCGGCATAAGCGCCTGCCCTGCAAGCAGGCAGTCATGAGTTTGATCCCTGGTACCGATAAAAAGGAAAAAGCCAAAAAAAAAAAAAAAAAAAACAAACAAACGACGTAGTCATGGAAAGAGAATCTAGTATACATGGTGGGGGGAGTGAACCCACACTCAGGTCCAGGAGCCAGAAGCACCGCCAATGGCCCACTGCAGGACAGTTCAGACCCACAGAGTTGCCATGCCTTCCTCCTGACAGTGAAGCATAGCGGGCCTTTCTGGAGTATATGTTCTAGTCAGGAAGCCTCCAGTGAGCAAGCTGTAGCTAGAGGGCAGAAGATAGTGTGTTTTGACTGTGTTCCATGAGCCAAGCCTACCTGCTGTCCTGGCTCCATCCCAGCAGGTATCAGGGTGGAGTGTGGCCCTACAGGGCATCCAGGGTGGCAAGGCTATGTGCTGGCTCACCCCCTGCTGGGGAGATGGAGGCACCTGTGAGAAAAGAGGACGTGGAGTAGCTGCTGTGTCTCCCCCTGGAGGTCAGCACCATCAGAGGGGCGAGTGGTACTGTGGTTCCTGTGATGCCAGCTTCCCCCTGAGAGTCTCCTTGCTTCCTAGGTCCCATTCTGGCCTCTGCCAGTATGGTCCCCGACATGACCACCAGAGTAGAGTGACTACAGAAGCTGAGGCACAGCCCAGTATGGCTGCCAGTGTCCTAGACTGAGGTGGCAACTCCCAGATAAGCTCAGGGTGGCAATGGCACAGTCAAGGCCTGATGGGAAGATGAGAGGCCAGGCCAGGCCAGGAATCCAGCTGTGGGCGGGGCATGACCAGTTACCAGCAGAGACTGTGGCTGCCAGATACCACAGGTCACGTGGGGCAATCACGCAGGATAGTAACAGCCTCACCTCACAGTGGTTGGGTAGGGAGAAGAGGGTGCAGGGGGCCCCAGCACAGAAGCCCAGACTACTGATGAGGGCCACAAATGAACATCCCTCACCAGATGCCTGCCACAACCTCTGCACAGTGAGCCCCTGTGGCCTCTTGTCACACCACCTCTGTGTGCTCATCTGCTCTCTGAACTCATGCAACAGCCATTACCAGGTTCTCCCCCAGATGGGGCTCAAGTACCAACTCATAAAAGCTCAAGTAGAGCACTTACCTCACCCCAGACACATTCTCTGTGAACTGCCGCAGTCTGCTGGAGGGTTGATTTTCACTGGACTACACCCGCCTGGCTGTGGCTGTAGAACAGCTGAAGAGACTGCTAGGGTGTGAGCTCTGGACTCTCAACTGGGTCACCATCCTGTCCCAGACCTATGGAAGATGCCGGGGCACACTGTGGGCTCAGCATCCTGGGCCCTCTGGGTTGGTGGGCAGCCAGGGATGGGAGCTCCAGAGAGGTTAGCTCTGAGTGGAGGAGGGGATGGTGGGCTTCTCCTTGAGAGCTGTGTTAAAGGCACTGCAGACCCTGGGAAGAAGCCTGGAATACACTCACACCTGACAAGTGGGAGGATTACCCAGACCTGCCAAAGTAGGGGTGACCTTCAGTGCCACAGAGGCTGTGGTGCAGGAAGAAGCCCCTGTCCTCAGCCACATCTACATCAGCTATCCAGGCTGGGTCTCTGGTGTGTGCCAGTCCTTTCACAATCAGTGTGCAGAAACAGCAAGGCAGCATCCAGAATCACAGTGGGGCCCACAAGGACACAGACTTCCCAGGGTGGAAGTGCCTGCCTGGTTCAGGGTCTGTGGGATGGTGTGCAGGGAAAGTGGCACCGAGGACTTGGCAGGCACATGTGGTAATGGCAGAGTCAAAGCCCAATGGGAAAGTGAGAGGCCAGGCCAAGAATCCAGCTGTGGGCAGGGCCTGATGATGACCGGCAGAGACTGTGACTGCCAGACCCCACAGATCACATGGGACAGTCACTCAGGACAGTGACAGCCTCACAGTGGTTGGGTGGGGAGAAGAGGGTGCAGGGGGGCCCCAGCACAGGCTGCTCCACCAAGAAGAGTCACTCGAGGCAGTGTGGTACCTGCCTTCCTCTCCTGAATTCCCTAAAATACTTGGTGGATCCTACATCCATTCACTGTTTCAGGACCTGGTGCAATGGAAGGAATCAGGGATCCCACCCCACACTGGCCCACTGGACTCATGTCCACATGGAGCCAGGTCAGATAGGAGTCTGCTGGGTGAAGAGGACTAAGAAGGAGGAGCTCACAGAATAGGTTCTTAATGAATGGGGATTCTGACCTAACAAGAAGAGTGAAAATCTCACCCGCTATTTTCTCTTACGTGCTTAGCCTGAGGTCACAGTGGGCCCTGCAAGGATCTCCGTGATTAGTCCGCCTCAGAATGGACGGATGGGTGAGTACTGTTCCTGTAACCTCACTCAGGTCCATGCAGGGGTATGCAGGTGTTCTCTGAAAACTGAGATCACTAGAGCTGTCAGAAGTCACCCTGGAAGGCTGAGCTGCCCCTGTACCAGGCTGGGCACAGAGGAGCTCCCAGGAGACAGGAGCTCTTCCCCTTGTGGTTCTAATCAAAGCGTGTGGCTGGGTTTGCTTGCTAGTATTCCACTTGGGTCAGTAGCCCCTTTGTTGACCCAGGCTTGGTGATCCCAAGGCCCTTGAGCTCCCCACTGCCCCTGTCCTCAGCTCCCTAGCCCTGGTTCCTCTCCACAGGCTTCCTGCTGTACCCATCCTCCTTAGGAGTGCAAGACCTACTGTTCCCCTGCTTTGGTGTGGGAGCCCTTGTAATGGGTACCCCGACTCCAGGACCTGTGTCCTTACCCCACAGAGCTTGCTAAAGTGGCAGAGTTCTGATCAGTGTCCTCTTGTGTCTTCCCTGTGTCACCAGCAGCCTGCACAGGTTTCCGCCCATGGCCAGGTTCCTGTGGGGCTGCTTCCCACAGCTGGCCCCTCCCAGCTCCAGGGACTGGCCATGCCCAGGTTGCTCCCCTAGAGGTGTCCACAGGTACTGTCCTTGCTCACAGTTCCCAAAGGGCATTTGCTCTCTCTAGAGGCTCTGTGTGTGCTAGGAGACTATGCAGGGGCTTGGCTCACACTGCCTCCATCTCTTCTCTGCAGTGTCCACTGTATTCTGTGACTTTGTCAATTTGGAAAGAAGACCTTTTGGTTTTCATTCCTGTAACTACTCATGATCCTGAGTGTTGTAGTTCTATTCCTCTCTTGTTCTTCCTCTGACTTAGCTATTTTCATCCTTTTAGTATATGGCATGCTTAATATGAAACATACTGATTTTATCCAATTTGCTTTGTTATTCTGTATTTAACTTTTAGAAATTAGCCTTTTTAGCCAGGTGTGGTGGTGTACATCTGTAATCTCAGCACTCAAAAAGCTGAACCAGGAGGAATGCCACAAGTTTGAGGCCAGTGTAGGCTACATAATGAAGTCCAGACCAGCCTGAACTACATAGGCAAGGCCCTGTCTGAAAAAAAACTTTTAAAAAATTAAATAGAAATTTACATAAAAGATTTTACCTAACTTTTTGCCGTTTAGGGGGCTGTAGATCTCATAAGCATTTGTTGAAGGCAGAGGTCTGAATCTGAACCAAAGTTTATCACCATAAATAATCCCTATTTTACATTTTTTGAAGACCTGTTTATCTAGAAGCATGACTATATGAATACACCATGAGGTTAACAACAATCATTTGTCATAATCATATGGAAACCTTTGTATGGGCACTTTTTAAATCAAAAACCTTTTGTATTATTTCTTTTAATGATGACCACTGTGAACATATTACAATAATTATGTAGCTTTAGTTGGGGAGGCTCCCATAATGCTATGGAGATCACTGAAGCCTCCAATCAATGAACAAGAGCTGTTACCACGTGACCACTTTCTTATTCATCAATTGAAGTCCTATCCAATAATCCCAACCTCAAGGGATTTTTGTTTAACCATTTTTATAATAATTTTACTTCATCCATTGAGCTGTTAAAGGGCATCTTGGTTGCTTCCAAGTTTAGCAGTTAGATGTCCATTGCCGATTGCACATGGAATGGACGCATACCTTCAAGTCCTGTGGTAGAATATCAAGAAGCACAGTTACTGCTAGTACTATGGTGAGAGCAGGTTTGGTTTGGGAAGAACCTGTCATGCTGTCTGACAAAATGCTGGGCTGTCTTGCATTCCCATAGCCACAAGTGGCTCCTGGGACTCTGCATCCTTGCCAGGGCCTCAAACACACAAAGCAGAAATTTGTGTACGGATTAGGAGGGAAAAAGCTATTTTTTTTTAGATTTCCATGCTCTTTTTTAAAGGGATTAATAGAAGAGTTAGCCAGAAAAAATTGTAAAGGGAAATGGGAACAAAAATATAAGTGACATGCGTAAAACAACAAAGTGGCAGACACAAGTCCATCTGTATTGATACTAGCATTTAATAGAACAAATTACAGGCCACAGTAAATAAGCACAGAATACCACACTGAAAAAAAAAAGAAAGATCCAGCAGAATGCTTTCTGTAGGAAATAACACCCCAAAGACACAATTAAAAGAAAGTTATAGAACAGACACATCAAGGACGTGGCAGCCAGATTACTGGAGTGGCTGTCATTCATAGCAGGCTCAACAGGTTTCAAGACAAAACTTATTGCTAGAGACAAGGACAAAAGGGTCAATATATTAGGAAGACACAAACTATTAGTGTAAATACACCAACAAAAGAAAACCCCAAAATACACCTAGCAAATGAACTGATGAAATTAAAAAGAAATAATTCATCATTGATGATTTGAGTATAAAGCAACCAAATAGATAATTACTAAGAAAATAGGAGACTTAACCAGTACTCTTGACCACAGTGACTTATGTGATAAGATACCACCCAACAAGAGCAGAACAGCATTCTCTTCAGGTGTAAATGGGACATTCATTAGAACAGATTAGATATTAGGACCTAAAAAACTTCCAGCACATTGAAAAGGATTTGGATCATACAAAGTGTATTCCCTGACCACAGATTGAATTGGGAATGAACAACAGAAAAAAAATCTGAGAATAAAACAAACAGCACAATGCAAATTAATCCATGAGTCAAAGAAAAAAATCAGAAGACATTAGAAAATATCTTGAACTGAATGGAAATACATGTCAAGTTTATGTGGTGCAAGCAAAGCCATATTTATAGTATTAAATGCTCTTTTGAAAATGATAAGGGAGCGTACCATTTAGCTCATTGGCATAAGCACCTGCCTTGTAAGTGCACAGTCGTGAGTTCGATCCCTGGAATTGGGTACCAACTCCCCAAGAAGAATGTAATTAGTATGTAGTGCAAATATACTAATAAACATTTTTAAATAGAGTAAGGTGAAAAATAAAATGGAAAGCACAATCTGAACTTAGTAAGCTTAAGCTACCAAGCAGATAGAACCAACAGAGATGATTAATGGGAGCTAAAGTTGTTTCATTGATGAAATTATCAAAATCAACTTAAGAAATAATAAATCCAGATAAACACCTATTAAGTGAAGTCACATTGGTAATTTTTCAGGAAAAAAAAAGCTGATTTCTCAGCAGTTTCATGGATCAGTTCTGTCAAACGTTCAAGGAAAAATGAATCCCAGTGCTACATGAACTTGGAAAATAGATCAGACACTCATCAGTTCCTTTTATTGAGTCAGTAGTAGCCCAGTAATAAAGCTAAAGAAAACCCGCACCAGTATTCTTCATGAGTATAAATGCAGAATTCTTTAAAAATATATTTGACAATCAAATCTAATAACAAATAAAAGATGTCGTACACCATTTCCAGGTATTCAAGTTTCATTCAAGGTACTCATGTCGATGTGGCATCAGAAGGTCAGTTAATGTAATAAACTATGTTAATAGAATAAAGGGCAAAAAAATCTCAAAATATTTTCAATAAGAAAAGAATTGCCAAACTACAATTGTTCATGGTAAAAAGTCTCAACAAAAATGAAGTAGATGAGAATTTCCTCAACTTGATAAAAGGCATCTTTAGAAAACTTACAGGCCAACATCATAATTAATGCTGGAAGTTTTGTTGACATAAAACCTGGGCATCAGAGCACAGGCCTATGATCTCAGCTCCTGAGGCAGGGTCATGACTTCAAGGTCTATGATGAAACTGCATCTCACAAACAAAACAAAAAAGAAGAAAGAAAAGAAAAGCATATAGTTTGAAAAATACCACTATATTGATAATGATGTGATATATGTGCAACATCATGAAGTCTGCATAAATACCACAGGTAACAAGGCAGCAAGGTGACAAAGCTACAAAAACAATCTACAGAAATCAATTTTATTTCTATATTTTAGTAAACAGTCTGAAACTGGAATTAGTTGATCATAACTGAAGGTTTTCCTGTCTTTTCATGATACCATGCTATAGTGATTTTTTAAAATCTTACAATGCGTTTTGAAATTAGATGGTATAAACCCTATTAACTTTGTTCTTAATTATAAAAATAAGTTTGGCTATGTTAAGTCCTTTGCATTTCTCTATAATTTTTAAAATCTTTTTGTCAGATTCTACTAAGCCTGCTGGGACTTTGATAGCAGTGATTCCGAGTTTGTGTGCCAGTTTAGAAAGAATGGCCATCTTTACAATTCGGAATCCTTTGTACATATTCTGAATCTCTTTCTCTACTTACTGTATCTTTAGTTTCTCTTGGAAATCTTTCATAATTTTCAGTGTACAAGTCTCACAATCCAACAATAGTCCTATAAAAATCAGTACAATACTGTAATGGAATATAAAATATTTTTAGAATATAAAATATAAACAAAAATAAATTAACCTGCACTTATCTTTGAAAACTTTTGTGGCTGGTATAGAGAGACAAGAAAGGAGGGCTATTGTGTAGGACAACTTGCACTATCATTAACAGAATTACTGTCTCAAAGGAATCTTTTTTTTTCCCTGCAACTTTAACCTACCCAATGACAGTTGCTTTTGCCTCCTTTCGTGGACTTCATGGAAATGTGACATTGCATTGTTGTTAAATGGATTCATCACTTGCCTTGCCACAGCCTATATAAGGTGGTGCTTTCCCACAAAATTTTGCAGTTTCTCACATTTTACATACCTTCTTCATCTCATTTGGAGTAAGAGATTCCTCTGCCTTTTTTTCCTCCTCTTCTGCAGAGGAAATCTTTCTGAAATGCCTTTCATAATGTCACTTTTCTGAAGGTGTCATGGGCAGAAGATCACTCTGATCTGCCTCTGTTCCAGTGATGCCAAAGACCCTGCCCTCCTCTGGTGCCTCTGTCCTATAATGCCCATGGCCCTTCCAAGTGCCTGTGATCCGTGCTTTGGCCTCAGCACTACCCATGTCCCTGCTAATGACAGTTATGCCACAGGGCACTGTAAGTGAGATACAGAGCCATCTGTGGCCTCCATAGTGAGCACATTACCCTGAGCAGGGGTACCTGCCATCACAGCTGTTCATGGACCTGTGCATTGAAACACACCAGGATCATTTAAGATGGTGAGGCCACTCGAAGGAAGAGACTTCACCACAGCCTGAGAGCAGGAGACTGGGTGTGACAGCAGCCACCAGGACAGCCAGCTGTCAAGAGGCAGGCAGAATCCTTCTGTGGTTCCCTGGAGCATCTGGGCGTGGGGGCTGAACCCCGTGGCCACTGGCACTGGCAGCTTGATTGCTTTGTGGGCTCCAGGGTGTGGCTACCCTGGGTGGTCAGGACCAGAGCCTGGCCTGCTGGGTCTTCTGTCAGGCGCGTGCACAGGCAAACTGTACTCAAGTGCCAGGGGGGTTCCTGGGAGGGCAGTGCTTGCAGGCCAACAAGGCCCCAGTGTTTGAACACAGGGAAACAAGATGAAGACAGGGTGGGTGCAGCCCATCAGACAGTTCTGTCTCCAGGCCCTCAGCCATCCAGCAGGGCCTTCAGAGAGCAGTGTCCTTCCTTGGTCTGGGAGGCAGAGTTGAACCTAACTGGTGCAGTTACCTGGACACCCAGAGCAGGATCTAGCTGCAGGGCCACTGTCTCAGGCACTGGGGGCCAGGTTAGGGCTCGCCCACTAGGGTGGCCTGGGGCAGTCATCACATTGCCCTCCTGTGTCACCTGGCTGGTTAGCCCCATGCAGACCTGTGTCAGTCTCCATCCTGCCGTGGCAGGACATGTTGTGTGATGTGCTGTGGGGCCTCCTGGCTGAGCTAGGACTAGGGTGGGCACTGCAGCCCAGCAGTTCTATTCCCCTAATACCAAACTGCTGGGTTTTTCTTATCTTTCTTCTTTTGGTTTTTGAAACAGGGTTTCATTATGTAGTTCAATCTGGCCTTGAACTCATGACAGTCTCCTGCCTCAACCTCCCAAGTATTGGGATTGCTGATGTACATCACCATACCTGGCCAAAGTGCCAATTTGTCTCAGTGGCTTGCATGGTCTCCATGTTACCTTCTTGGGCCTGCCACAGCAGTCAGGAGAAGTCGGGGATTCAGTGCGTTGTCAGCCTCATGATGTGGGACAGCAGCCATGTCCTTCTTTGAAGCCTGCAACATCCTCACATGACACTGTCATTTCCTCCACAGGCAGTGTCTCCTACTGGGGCCCTCAGCATCCAGCCCTGACACCCAGCCCAATTCCCAGCCAGACAAGTGTGTCGAAAGCTTTCAGGTAGTGTCCCCAAATGGCATTTTCTCAATATGTGGATGGGAAACACAAATGGTCTGTCTCCTGGCCTAGCCATTAGAACCAGGACTGCTAGACAGCAGGACTGCTCCACTCTAATTTTGAGTCAGGCTCTGGTGAGCAGTGTCATGTTTTGCATTTTGGAAGCTGTGCTGTACCTTAGGCGCTTGCCCTGTTACTAAGCCTTCCCAAAGAATCATGTAATGACTACACGGTATTTCCTCATGGGCACCGACTATGGTTTTGTTTCCTGCAAAGCTCAGAACATCATTGTCTCTGCTCCTGTCTGCCTCCAGGCCATGTGGAGATGTGTCCCATAATCTTTAGGTACAGAAACTGGGCTGGGCCGCATCGGAGAGCTGAGGAGTAGAGTGTTCCTGCCATGCCTGAGGCTCCTGGTGCCCTCCCAGTCCTGCAGAAGGGAGGAAAGAAGGGAGAAGCAGCAGTCAGCTGATCTAAGGCCCATGGGACCAGAGCTGGCTCCCTGGGCTGTGCCCTCCTTTGGGTGGGTGGGCGCCAAGGTCTCAGATGGTGGACTCCTGCTGGGCCCCTCCCCTGCCAGGCTGTTTCTGTGCTCTGCAGCAAGCTGGCCTATAGCTCATCCTGCCTCTCCTCTGCTAGCCTGGCTACACATGCTCATGGCTGTCCGCACCATCTGCCTGGCAGACTCCTACCTTTGTCCACCCAGGAATGCAACCTCTCCTTCCTCGGTGCCCACTGATCAGCATCTTTACTCCTGCCTAATTCACTGTCCTTTTTTAGTTTTATACTTTGAGATAGAGTCTGGCTAAATTACGTAGCAAAACCCAAGCTTAGTCCTCCTACCTCAGTCTATTTCAGGGAATCACAGTTGCAGGCCACCGTACCTAACTTTTCTACTCAGTTCTGTGGTGGTGTGTGCCATGGTGGTGTCTGCTCTCTGTCCCTCTGTGGCCCAAGGGCAAGCAGGGATGCACTAAAGGCATTTGAGTATTGAGTGCATGTAATGACCATTGTCTTGAAAGAAGAGGTTGCTGTGCAAAGTTCCCAAGAGGAAGTGCTTGCACGAAGCCTCAGGAGGCCGAAGGAGCAGGCAACCTGGACATAAGCCTGCATATGCATTCTGCACAGACTGGGGTGGCGCTTGTCATGTGTGAGTTACATGAAGAAGGGGACGGGCTTGGGCTTTGAGCTCTGGCTTGACTAGAGGAAGGCCTGTCCCGAGGCAGGCTGTCTGCTGACCCCAGGAATTAGCTGCATCGTGACCATCAGCCCAGACACAGTGTGGGCCTTGCTGGTCCTGTGTATTCTGAGTGTGCTTTTGAGCCTGCCTGGATGATTGTCACAGATACTTGTGATGCATCAGTTACTCTGTTGAACTCATTTCTAGGGTCCCATCACTACAGGTCCACTACAAGCTTCCATCACCAGTTCCAGTGTCCCAGCTGCCTGGAAGGGCAGGGAGACAGCCCAGCCCCAGAAGCACCCAGGATGAGCCCCGACCCCCCATCAGCATCCCAGGTCTGCTGCAGAGGCAGAGCGCAGGCAGGTACCCACAGGTGGCAGGGACAGCCGAGCAAGCACCTAGGGAGATGGGTCCTTATGCTTCTCAGGTCCTGGAGGAGGCATCAGGCACTCAGAAGCACAGTAGTAACACATTCTTGTCTTCACTGTGGACTTTTAAATTAAGACCCAGATGCACCAGTCCTGCTCTGGAAGGACTCATATGACATCTGAAATTTTAAAAACATGTATTTGAAGGAAGGAACCCAGCATGGTTCTTCCAAAACATCTGCATTCTGCTGTCCTCCTTCCAAGATTAACGCCTTTATGTTGTGACCCCATGTCTCCTGCAGAGCCTGCTCCCCTCTGGGCACCAACGTGGGCACCAACACGTGATGAGCCATCCGTGTGCCGCCCCTCCCGTGACATCTGTCTCTGCTCCTCCCCAGAGGAGCTGTTCTCCTCTGGGAAGAATGTGGCTGTAGGCCGACTGAGACCTGAATAAAGCTCTCTGGTTGTCTGACCACCTCTCTGTGATGTGTAGCAGCATTCAGACCCCTGAGGCCCCGAGTGACCCTGTCTCTAGGAAGGCCGCTGCCTGCTGTGCAGGGGGTTGTCACTCTTGGGTCTCTGTACCCATGGTGCCTTTGCTGACCTAGGATGTGAGGCCATGGCCGGGTGCCCAAAGGTACCACAAGGCACACCACCCCCGGCTAAGGGCATGTGCGGGGCTAGCACGAGGCTTTTTTTATTCTGCATTCACCCACGAACTGTGAGAGGATTGGCTGTTCCATAGCAGCCATGTGACGCAGGCTCTACAGACTGGCTGGAGCCAGATGGGCTGTCCCAGGACACCTGGGGCACTCTGGTCCCCAGGGTGTCTCTGCCTGGACTGAAGGAGGAGAGAGCCCCAAGTGTGCTGTCCTCTGGGAAGGCCCTCGAGTGTACCTTCTTCAAAACTCATGCTAGTCAGTCATTCACAAGTCCTATAATAAGATTCATGTTCTGAGGGGCAGGAGTTTAGCTCAGTGGCACAGCACCTGCCTGGCAAGTGTAAGATCCTGAGTGGTACTCTCACTCCCCAAAAACAGATTCGTGTTCTGCTGGACCTCTTCCCTGCCATGTCTAAGTGTTATCCCTAATTCTGACATGTTTTCCCTATGCACTGAATAGAATGAATGTATGATTATTTCAACACTAGAGTACAGGCTAAATGCGAAATATAAACAGTCACAGTACAAAATATAAACAGCTCACAGTACAAAATAAATTGAGTGCCCCTGCCTGTCCCAGGCCTGTGGAGCACAGAGACCTGCTGGGCCCAAGAGCCAGCCTGTGCCTTTGGCATTTATTTCCCAGGGCCCCTCCTCTCCTTGTAGATGAGCCAGGTCCCCAGTCCCAGGGCTGGTTGTTGACCTGTGACTCCACAACCCTTGTTTTCTCTACTGCTTCAGGCTGCTTTCTAGGCAGAAGCCTCAAGCTGTGGTCTCAGCCCATTGTGGCTCTGTGTTTCTTGTTCACTATTGAGCTGAAGTCAGCCATCCAGGTTCACAGGCCCCTGACGGAGAAGAGGTATTCTCTGAGATTGGCACCTCCACCATGGCTTATCATGAGCATTGTTAGCGTATCTGTTCTTTCCCTATAGCTTCCCTGGAAAGAAAGAATTTCATGTAACACATGGACAGTGTTCACACCCTGTCAGGCACAGAGACTCCTAGCCATCCGCAGGACACAGGACACAGGACAACACAAGCTGTTCAGAGACAGCCTGGACCCAAGGTGGCTGGGTGTCAGAGGGCCAGACCCATCCTGGGCAGGAAAGACAGCACCTTTGCTCATGGTAGCTCAGTCTACCATGCAGCACGTCCTTATGTTGGCTGCCCAGTGCCCATTGCCTGGGCCTTCTCATCTCTTGAAGTCACAGCAGCCCCAGGCTCAGCCCGCCAAGCCAAGCATCTGTCCCCTCTGCGAGTTCAAGCAGCCCCACTGTGACAGCTAGCACAGCCACCAACCAGCAGGAACATGCCCCAAGGCGGGGCTGGGACTCTGACAGGTTCTCACTGTAACTTTCCTGTCCTTGCTGAGCTGCTGAATGTGAGTAAGAAATTGTTGTCCGGGAAGGGACTCAGCCAGAAAAAGTGAAATCCCAAGTTTCATTGATTAGTGGAGTCTGAATCAAGAATTAACAGATGCTTTCTGGGAAATAATACAGTTCTTACCCCAATGGAGCAAATTGCATTTCCTTCAGGAAGTTTGCTACTAACAATGCTGCTGTTTGCAAATAGAGTGGCAGAATGGTCTTTTTAAAAATTTTTTTGTCTTTTTTGAGACAGGGTCTCACTATGCAGTTCAGGCTGATCTTGAGCTCATTTTGTAGCCCAGGCTGGTCTCGAACTCGCAACGATCCTCCCACCTCAGCCTCCAGAGTGCTGGGATTACAGGCCTGAGCCACCATGCCCAGCTTGCAAAATGGTCATTTTAAGTGCAGTGAGAAAGTTTAATTTTATAGCTGGTTGACAAATGACTAAAACCTTTTGTGTCTGTTTACATGGGCCCCATCCTGGAAAGAGGGAGCTTGGCACTGCCACACTGGGCCCTGGCACTCTGGAGGGTGCTGTACCAGATTCCTTTCCATAGTGTTCCAGAGCTGTGTACAAGCTGTAAAACTGGGCAGTGAGGTCGGTCTCCGGGGACCCAGCACACATGGCCAGTACTGAGACTCCAGGGGAAGCAGGTCCCAGGCAGAGCACCCTCTGCAGGGCGTAGCACTGGGGGACACCCCTCAGCAGCAGGAATCCACGGGCCTCAGCTGCCCCTAAACTATGTACCAAGGGCAGACACAGTGGGACCTTTGGGGAGCCTGCATGGCTGCCTTTTTCATAGCAGGCCATCCTTGCTGTATGTACCTCTTCCCTCATCTACTACAGCCGGAAGGGGCTCAGGAAATATCTGAATCCCTGTGTACCAGTGGCTCCTGTTTAACACCTTGTTTTCAGTGCCAGATTGCACCTGTGTGTGTCCCTCTCCCACGGCTGAGAGGGAATCAACCTCTTCTGGTCTCCAGCACCCCACCTGGATATAGAGGGTGAGTGGAATGCAGGCCCCACCCAGGCCTTGGCAGGGCTGAGCAGCTGACAGCACTGTTAAGACCTGTCCCAGGAAATTTGGCTTTGATGGATGCCATCAGGGTCCCCAACACAAGGGAGCCTGAGGGTCAGGGATACTGGGCAGACTGGCCTAGGTGGATACAGGCATGGAGGACAGAGCCTTCACACAGCACAGGAAAGGGCAGAGCGTGTGGCCTCAAGGCAGGTGCCCAGCCACACCTGGCTCCTGCCACATAGACCTACTTCCCATGGGAGCTGCAGCACACACAGGAGCCCCATTTGTTGTTCATGATTACATGGCATATGCAACTGTTGAGTCTGTCACCAGGAAGTCTCCAAGAACTCCCACCTGCCCCTGGAGCTGCATAGGTTCTCCACACCCACTTCTTCTTCAAGCAGGTGCCCTTTGGGTGCCCTCTTTCAGGAGAAGGATATGCACTCTGGAGGACAAGTCCCCAGACATGCACACCACAGTCAGCTCCACTGGTGTGCAGCACAGACTGGCTGCATCAGGGCAGCAGCCCGTCCTCAATGCTCTCCTGGCTGCCGACTGTCTAGATGTTGGTCCCACCCGGCTTCCTCTGTCTTTCCTACCTCCTCATCTTTGTCCCTGAAGCTGGGCCCTGCTGGAAGATTGCCAGCCTCTGGGCCTCCATGTTAGGTGCCCTGTTCCAGGGTCCTCGACACATGGCCTTGTCCAGCGGCTGTCACCTGCCAGGTGCGCTCTCTACTGCTGTCTTGGCTTCCAGCTCTCTGAGTGGAAATTGCCTGCCATCTGGCAGAAATTTCATTTTCAACTTTAAATTTTCCATGAAGAGTGTAAAGCGAGGTATTAATTTACAGTTGCTAACTGTGCTTTTCAGAAGTGAAAGCACAGGCAGCTAAGCATATTTTCCCCCAGTGCAGAGAGCAGACAATTGACAGTAACCAGCTGCTGGGAGACAGGGCCATTAGCCTAACAGGATTGGCATGGAGGACCTGACTCCTCCCCCACATCCCCACATCTGGGCAGAGCCACCCTACCTGTGCCCAGCATCAGGGACAGAATCATGAGGAAGGCCTGGAAGGGGTGCAGGACACGGGGACCCTGTAGCTGCCCATTGCAACCCCCAGGAGGACCTGGGAGTGGGTTGGAGGCCATCTTGTGAGTCCTCAAGGCAAGAGTGTCCCCTAGGCCAGCCACCAGCAGGGAGCACTCTAGCACCACCCACCAGGACCCCCGAAAGACTGAGCCCTCCCCCAAGGAGCCGGACAGCCACTCCAGACAGGACAGAAATTCCTTCAAACCTGAGCACTGCAAATGTGAAAAGAGGTTTTGAGCAAGTTTTCTTTTCAGACCAAGAGGAAATTCCTAAAATTCTTAGATGGTAAATCCAGGCTTTCACTCCATCTCACTGGTGCTGACACTGGGTGGAGATGACAGGAAAGAGGCCCTGGAGGTAAGGGCATCCCTGCAGCCTGATGCCACTCATGCCTGCCAGGCCCTTGAGGTTCTTGGCTACTCCATCTCCATAGCTGAGGGAACCGCACCACATCTACCTGTTATGTCCATGCATCTCGTGAGATGTCCAGTCTGCTGGTAACATCCCATGTGCTTCCAGTTCTTACCATGAGTGTGGAGGGGAGGATCCAGGTGCTGAGATGCAGCTACACCGTTGTGGGCATTTCATGTGTTTGCATCATCCACTGGGCTTGCACACTCACACTTGCACACATCACACATACACGATTCTTTTTGAACTATTAGTGGCTGCTGATTTCATGACTCCTGTGCAGGCCTGGGCATGAAGACAGCACTCCCGGGACCGAAGGACAGCTGCACCTTAGCCTGCCCAACCCATGGGCCTCTGGGTCAGTGCTCTGGGAGAGGCCTCTCAACATTCCTCTTTGACCAAACGGGCCCACATCTCACTGCTTCCTGCTGGCCAAAGACAAGGGGGCTCAAGACTCTGGCAGAGCACAGGATCTGGCGCCCCCCTCTGGCGATTTAAGCATTGCATCTCCACAGCACTGATGAGCAGCACAGCCTGACTCCGGGTCAGATAGTGCCTCATGTCCCCGTTTAAGCAAGCCAATCTCGGCTACCTTGGCCATGAAGAAGACACCACTCCAGCAACCAGGAAAGTGTCTGAGACCCCAATGTTCACTAGTTTCAATAATGACTCCTAAGCCTAGGGACACACAATGCTGTGTGGGTGGGTGGGCACAGCCTCTGCCTGGGTGCAAAGGCAGGAGGGAC